GGGATCGAACCCAGTGCCTCACGAATGGTAGGCAAGCAGTCTACCACTGAGCCACAGCCCCATCCCCTAAACTATATTCCTTAGCAACCTTAACATGGCAACTCTTGGTCCTGGGCATTTCCATATGTATTTCAAGAACCAATTGGTTGATTTACCCAAATAAAACTGAATTTCCCTGGATTTTCCTTGAGTCTATAAATATAGGGTGAATTAACAAATACCAGACATATAAAAAACTGCTATAACTCAACAATTAAAAAATAAATAAATAAATAATGGGCAAAAGATTCAAATAGCCATTTTTCCAGATAGAAAAATGACTGATAAGCCTATGAAAAGATGATCAATTATATTAGTCAGTAGGCAAATATGATATTACTTCATATCTACTAGAATGGCTAGAATCAAAAAGACAAATAATAACAAGTATGTTGAAGATATGAAGAAATTAGAACCCTCATACATTGCTGGTAGAATTTAAAATGGTATAACCACTATAGAAAACAGTTTGGCTGTCTTCAAAAAGCTAAGCATGGAGTTACCACATGAGTTAACAATTCTACTCCTAGGTATGCAAGAGAATTGAAAACTTGTGTTCACATGGGAAATTCTATAGAGATAGATGATTAATAATTGCTTGGGTGTGGAGGGTGTGAGATAAGAATTGGAAAAGATTGCTAATGGGTTCAGAGTTTCTTTTTTAGGTGATTAAAATGTTCTAAAATTAGATTATAGGAATGTTTGCACACCTGTGAATATTTTAAAAATTAGTGAATATTTTAAATGGGAGCATTTTACATTAATTATATTTCAGTAAAACTTTTTTGACAGGGTAAAAAGCCTTTCCACTAAAATTTACATAACATTAGTGAGAGTAACTTAATAAAGACCTAAAAAAATGCAGAGACATGGGGCTGGGGTTGTGGCTCAGTGGTAGAGTGCTTGCCTCACATGGGTGAGGCACTGGGTTCAATCCTCAGTACCACATAAAAATACATAAATAAAATAAAGGTATTGTGGCCATCTACAGCTAAAAATATTTAAAAAAAAAAAAAAAAAAGAAAGTAGAAGTAATGCAGGGACGTGCACATTTGTAAATTGGAAAAGTTGGTATTTGCTAAGATGTCCTTTATATTTTCATATGAATTTTAGGATCAATTCATCTATCTCTGCCAGAAAGCTAGCTTGAGTTTTCATTGGGATGATGTTCAATCTGCAGATCAATTTTGGGAGAATCACTATCTTTTTTATTTAATATTTTCTTAGTTGTCAGTGGACTTTATTTATTTTTATGTAGTGCTGAGAATCGAACCCAGTGCCTCACACATGCTAGGCAAGTGCTCTACCACTGAGCCACAACTCCAACCCATAGAATCACTATCCTGAGTCTGTTTTCTGTTGGTATAAGAGAATAACATGAGCCCTCATGAGTGCAATTAGCACCCTTACCAAAGAAACCCAAGAGAAACCCTTCATGCTTCCACTCTCTAGGACACACCAAGAAGGCATCACCTGTGAGGAAGCAGGCCTTCATCAGACATGAATCTGCCAACACCTTGATTTTGGACCTTCCAGTCTCCAGAACTGTGAGAAATGAATTACTGTTGTTGATACCCCAAAGAGTTTGTGGTATTTTGTTACAGTAGCCCAAACAGACTAAGACAATGTCCTTTATTAGGTTGAGGACCTTTTTCTCCATTCCAACTTTGTTGAGTATTTTTATCATGAAGAGGATGTTGGATATTGTTAAATGTGTTTTCTGTGTCTTTGAGTTAATCAAGTTGATTTTCTCTTTATTCTGTTCATGTGGTGTGTTACATTGATTTTTGCATGTTAATCCAAATTTGCATTCTTGGGTCTCCACTTGTTATTCATCGTATATAGTCTGTTTTGTGTTGCTATAAGAAATACTAGAGGCTGGGGACTTTTTTATAAAGAGGTTTATCTGAGTTTGGTAAATCTGGTGGCTGGAGTGTCTAAACAGTATGGTGCTGGCATCCTGGCAAGGGCCTTCTGGCTGTCTCATACAGTGGTGGAGAAACAGCAAGAAATGGAAGGAAGTGATGACACTATGAGGTAGGAAACTAGAGGGATTCAGGGATCAGGCTTGCTGTTTTTAAAACAATGTATTTTCCTCTTGGGTCCTTTGAGAACTACATTAATCTCTTCTGACTTTAGCACCCCCAGTGACCTAACCACCTTCCACAGGTCCTAGCTCTCCCAACTCAACACCACCACACTAGGGACCAAGCTTCCCAGCACATGAAAATGAGACAAACGATGTCCAAATCATAACACATAGTATATAAACTTTATTTGTTGTTTGATTCAGTTTTGTGAGGATTTTGTGCCTCTTATTTTTTGTGTTTTTCTTGCTATAAGTACTTTTATTTTAAATTTTTACTCTTTTCCTTTCATTTATCAGAGATTGAACCCAGGGGTGCTTAAACACTAAGCCACATCCCCAGCTCTTTTTTATGTTTTTATTTAGAGACAGGGTCTTGCTTAAGTTGTTTAGGGTCTCAATAAGTTGCTGAGGGCTGGCTTTGATCTTCAATCCTCCTGCCTCAGCCTCCCAAGATGCTGGGGGATTACAGGCATGCGCCACTACACTCAGCTTAAATTTTACTTTTTAATTACTTGCAATTAACACATAGAAATATAATTTATGTTTTATATTTGCATCCAGTGATCATGCTAAATTTATTCAAATAATTTTAGAATTCTTTTGGTTTTTCTGCATATACAAACCATGTCATCTGCAAATATTTCTATACATCATCTTTTTCAACCTCTACATTTTTCCTTTCTCCTATCTTACTGCACTGGTTTGGGCCTCCAGTATAATCTCGAATATAAGTAGTTATAGAAGATACCCTTGTTTCATTCCCTTGAGTAACCCATCAAGTATGTTACCTGAAAGTTATTTTAAAATGCTCTTTATTAGGTTGAGTCAATTTCCTTCTACACTACTTTTATTGAGAGTTTTTATGATGATAAATACTGGATTTTTCAAATGTACTGCTGTCAAGTATGACATGATCATACTTTCCTCCTTTATTTTGTTAAAGTGGTAAATTACATTGGTTTTTGAATGTTAAACAATTTTACATTCCTGGAGTAAACTCCACTTGGTCAGCACTTATTTTATTACTTGCTGAATTTGGTTAGCTCTATTGTTTAAGATTTTACATCTATGAGAGAGATTAGCCTGAAATGTCCAAGGTTAGTTTAAAGACATTTTTGGCATCATAAAGTTGGTTTTTCTGTTTGTAAAAATTTGTATTTGGTATTTTTAATTCCCTCAAACATTTGGAACAATTAATGAATGAAAATATGTAGGCCTGCTTGAATCATAGAGGTTAATTTTTTTAAAGTAATTTTTTTGTAGTAAAGTGATATGCTGTGTATGTGTGTTGCTAGAGATCAAACCTAAGGATCTTGCACGTGCTGGGTAAGTGCTCTGCCACTGGGCCTCATCTCCAGCCCTGGTCGTCTGTTTTTATGCCTATCTTACTTTCCTGCAGTCACATTCTTTATGTGTGTGTTGGAGGGGAAGGGACAGGCAGCCTAGGGATTTAACCCAGAGGCACTTTACCACTGAGCTACATCCTCAGCACTTTTTATTTTTTCATTTGAGACAGGGTGTCACTATGTTGTTTATGACCTGAGTTACTGAAGCTGGCCTTGAACTTGTCACCCTCCTGTCTCAGCCTCCCAAGCTGTGGGGATTACACATGTGTGCCACTCTGCTAGCTCGCAATCACCTTCTGCCCGGAGAGGTGAAAAATGAACTCACCTTTCTATGCCTCCTTAATAACAAAGTTGAACTAAGTAACATTGTCACTGATCATCCTTCCAGGAGTTGTTTTAAACCTTGCTTCTATCCAGTGATCTCTACCCTCAGTTTAAATAATATGGATTTAAAAATAATACTAAAGTTTGTTCTCATTCATACATATAAGTAAATAAATTTTCAATTAATTTCCTACAAGAGATTAAAGAGACATATCTTAGTCCATTTATGCCCTTTTAACAGAATACCACGGACTGGATAATTTGTCAAGAATAGAAACTTACTGGCTAACTGTTCAAGAGTCCAGGAAGTCCAATATCAAGACGCTGGCAGGTTTGGTAATTCTGATTCCAAGATAGAGCCTGTATTATGTACTGAGATGGCCTCAGATAAAAGAGACAAAAAAGGCGGGGGGCTAAATTCACTCTTTTATGAAAGCATTAATCCTGGGGCATTAATCCCTGTGAGGGCAGAGCCTTCAAGGCCTAATCATCTCTCAAATGTCTGATTTATTAATACTGTTAAAATGGCAATTAAATTTGAATTTGAGTTTTAGTGGGGACAGACATTCAAATGGTAGCAAGAAAGAAGGCCTGGCAGAAGTTAAAATGATTTTCTAGAACTAGTTTATTTGAATCTCTGCAGAATTTTGTGGTAGGAAGATAGAGTTATGATGGAAATGGGTCTTTCCCCAATATAATTATTGCTCACTTTCCAGACAGAGCACAGCCCACTATTTCCTCTACAACCTGTAGCCCAATATCAGAGCCACCAATGCCCTCTGCTTCCATCTAAAAACTGCAACAATATTGGCTCAGAGAGAAAAGCACACTATTTTTAGAGTGGAAATCTGAATCCCTTCAGCTGCAGGGCAGAGCAGAAGGCTAGCTGTGGCACAAAGCCAGGAAACTAGACTGACTGGTCTGTCCCAGAGGAAGCTTACATCACATTCATTTAGAAGTTGCTTTGCTTTGCTTTTCCAACCTGAACTGTCCCCATGGTTTCATTTTCATTTTTTCCAGCTATGTTCATATACCATGAAATTACTGTGAAATTTATATGTGACATTTAAAAAAGTAAATTATTAGTAATAGTCTGCATATGAATATATAATTTTAATATTTGAACTGTGGATTTTAATACTTGAATTGTTAATGTAAGTGTATTTATAGAAATTTTATATACAGAAGCTGGCACTACAGACTTTGGAAAATCAATTTATTATGAATATCTATAAACATTTTTAGTAATGTTATCAGAATATTATAAAGTTAACATAATGTTCAGATAATTTGTTATCATATGGGAAATACAATAGATTCTTCACATTATTTGAAAAAACAATTTAATATGGCTTAAGTACAGTAATATAAAAGAAAATTATTAAACTCTTTGTAAGAGAACAGAGTATCTTTACAACCTTATACTAGGGAAGAGTTTCTTAAACAGAATTTCTGATATTTAAAGGAATGATAGATATTCTTATTGGTCAAAAAGACACCATAAAGAAGGTAAAAACCAAGTCATGAACTAGAATACCACTGCAAAACTACAAGCCAAAGGTACATATCCAGAAGATTTAGCAGAGACTCCAAAAGTAAATCCTACTTGTAGGAATTATACTCTAGAGTTATCCTAACACATATACACCTTTTTTTAAAATATTTTTTTAGTTGTCAATGGGCCTTTATTTTATTTTATTTATTTATATGCATTTCTGAGAATCAATTCCAGTTCCTCACACATGCTAGGGCAAGTGCTCTGCCACTGAAGCACAACCCCAGCCCATACATATTCACTTTTAAAGGCACACAGAACTGTTCATAGCAGCACCATTAGTATGGGGAGTGGGGAGGGGGTGTCTGTCAAGAGTAGAATATTAAATAAAAATTGGCATATGCACACAGTAGAATACCACCCAGCAGCAAGAAAATGAACTAAACAGATTTATGAAAAAATACCCAAAACATAATCTTGGGTTTAAAAAAGTGATAGACTGGGTTCAGTCGTGTACAACTGTAATCCTAGTGACTTAAGAGGCCAAGGCAGGAGGATCACAAGTTCAAGGCCAGCCTTAGCAACTTAGGAAGGCCCTGTCTCAAAATTAAAAAAAAAAAAAAAAAAAAAAAAAAGTGCTGGGCACAGTGATCCATGCCTGTGATCCCAGCAGCTCAGGTGGCTGAGGTAGGAGGATCGCAAGTCCAAAGCCAGCCTCAGCAACATAGCAAGGCCCTAAGCAAGTGAGCAAGACCCTGTCTCAAAATAAAATATAAAAAGGGCTGGGGATGTGGCTCAGTGGTTCAATGACCCTGAGTTCAATCCCAGGTACCAAAAATAAAAAGGGTTAGGTGTACAGCTCAGTGGTGAAGTGGCCTTGGGTTCAATCCCCAGTACCAAAAAAAAATGAAATAAAACAGAAGTGACAGAATACACAGAACATCATTTCACAAAATTTCAAACACATGCAAATGTAAACTATTTGGAGAGCTATGGGAAGGTAAGTATAAAGAGAAAATCAGAATGAGTAACACTAAGTTCAAATTATAGTTATCTTTGTGGAAAAAAGAATAGGACTGATTGGGAAAGTACATATAACAGGCTTCAATGGAATTGAATTTCTTAACCTGGTTATCAACCAGGTACAGATCTGTACAGTATAATAATTTTATCCACTAAACTCCACTTATGTTTATATGTATATTTGTGTGTAGAATTTTAAGGTAGTGTGTTCAAAATGAAATGGGGAGAAAATAATATCAGAGCTGAAGAATTATTTTAGTGAGTTCAAGCCAAAAAATACGGTTAAAACACAAGAGTTACAAGAGTACAGAAGAATAAGAAACCCAGAGAATACATTTAAAAGAACTTGATGAAGATAAAACTAGAAAATAATTAAATAGAAAATTTAAAAGCACAAATAGGACACACAACCAGTTATATGCCAGTTCTATGACCATTTTTGTCATAGAAAATACTAAAAGTAAAACTTGTGTTTACAGAGTAAGTGAAGCACACATTTATTTCTCATCATACTACAAAAGGCGAAAAAAACAGCAATGAGAACAAAAGCAAATGAGAGAGAGATACTACAATGATTTTGAAAATTTGAGGAATTCTGATACCAAAAGGCACATGAATGACACAGGAGAGGCAATTCACTGTGTAAAACCCAAGTTCCAGCTGGGCATGATGGCACACACCTGTAATTCCAGCAACTCAGGAGCCTGAGACAGGAGGATCCCAATTTCAAAGCTAGCCTCATCAAGGCCCTCAGGAACTGAGACCCAGTCTCAAAACTTAAAAAAAAAAAAAAATGGAATGGGGTGTGGCTGAGTGGTAAAGCATTCCTGGGTTAAAACCCCAGTACCAAAAAACAAACAAACCCAAGGCCCAGAATCCACAGAAAGGGCAGTTGGTGACATGTGCCTCTGGTTGAAAGTATATACACAAACTTGTACTCCAGCCTTTCCCACTTTATTTTGCCTCCTTGTTTTGATCTCTGGATAAACTGATCTTAACAGGATATGGCGGATACCCAAAGAAGGGCCAATTAAGGCACAGTTAGACAACAAACCACACTCAGAAGCCTTCTGGGGCTTCTTTTCCCAGATACCAGCAACTCAAAACTTAGCTCACACAGGTGGAAGTCCTCTCAAGAAAAATTAAATGGCAAAGGGATTTGACCTCAGTGGATCTTGCAAAGAAAAGGCTAGAGCAGGACTCTTGTCAATTGACAAGCACTAACCAATGATTAGAAGGAAAGACTACCTTGTATTTGAGAAAAATTCCAATATGAAAGGAACAGAGTAAGTCAAATAGGGACACGGAATTTGGTCATAAGAGAGTATACATGGAGCCATGAGAACTCCAAATAAATAATAATGAATGTAATTACAAATCAGTAATTCATATGGTTATGAATCAGACAGTAAACATACTACATAATATTTTAAAATACATAATTATATAAGGAAAAATACTGTATCCAAACAGAACAGATTGCTATGAAGATGAAAAAAATAAAAACCAGGAAAGAGTTCTAGGAAATTAACAATATAAATAATTTAAAATTTAAATACTATTGGAAGATAAAGTTAACAAAATTTCAAAAAAATAATTCTTGAGTTAAATAAAGAGATAAAAGAGAAAATAGGAGAGGGCCTGGGGTTGTGGCTCAGTGGCAGAGTGCTCGCCTGGCATGCATGAGGCACTAGGTTCAATCCTCAGCACCACATTAAAAAAAAAAAAAAAAAATGTGTCCACCTAAAACTAAAGATACATAAATAAATAAATATTTTTTTAAAAAGAGAGAAGATAGGAGAAAAACATTTAGAGGCGCAACCCACGAAAAATTTCTATCAAATAATATACATTTCAGCAAGAAAGAGGAAGGAAGGAGGAAGGAAAATTCACAGAAAATTTAACAGCTCATAAATACAATAGTTTCTAGACTAAAAGTGCTTGCCTGGTATCCACATAAAAAACTTGAAAAAGATCCACACCCAGACACAAAATTATGAAATTTCAGTACACTGGGAATATAATTTAACATTTCCAGGAGGGTTGGGAACACAAGATTACACACAAATAGGGAACAGATGACAAGAGTCTTTTTATAAACATCAGCTACAAGATTATTAAGTAATACCTTTAAATTCTGATTTGTAGAATTCTCACTCCAACAAAAACTATCAGTGCAATAAAGATATTTTCAGACAACTTTCAACTTAAAATATTTACATCAAAAGCCTGCATTTTAGGAGAGCTGTTGTAGAGAGGCAGTCAGTAGTAATGAGAAATATGTAAAATTAGCAACAGTTAGGACACAGAAATCCAAATCAGGAAAAGGGACAAATGAAGCCTTAAAGCAATTCTACAATCCAGGTAGGCTATGATAAGGACTGTGAAAGAGATTCTGCAAGAACAAAAAAGTTATGGGATAAGATTTGAGCTTTCAGAAAAATTATCGCTGAGTCTTACATATTTGTTGTAATACCTGGAAAGGGACAGTAAGAGGAACACACACACACAAAACCCACCATATACATACAAGCCAATTAAATCCAGGTCAAGCGAAAAATTGTGAAAATATAATTGGCTCTAAGGCCAAAAAAAAAATATGTAATCAGTTTATAAACATCAACTATTGCTTTAACCAATACCTGTAATATAGCTATATTTCAAAGTGGGTCTGGGAAAGAGAAGGTTCAAATTTCTTGTTTTAAATGAAGTCTTAAGTTTTTTCACCATTAAACATGACGTCTTTTATTTTAACCACTAAAATGACTTAACTAAAGAGTTAAGATTTCTTATTATCTATGAGTGACTTAGGAACTTGTCGGATTCATCTAAGATTTCATATTCAAGGAAGAAACAGTGAAACACTTGTTTCTACAGAATCCTGCTTATTTCACCATTTTGGTATCCTAACACCTTGACTGTGATGACAGACCTTACTTCCTCCTTTCCAATTTTGCTTCAAATTATTTTATTTCTCTAACTGCCAGAGTCCTGAAGGCAACCTAACCAACATGGAGTTATCAGAACGCCACACCCAGCTTCTTATAGTTACACAGTAATCCACAAGCACAGTCCCCCTGGAAAACAACCAGAAGTGCAGGCTATCAAAACCATCCCCAGGCATTCACAGATAAATATAGCCTCAGGCATGCGTCAAACCAAGCCATAACCGCAGACTCTACATCTGCGTCAGAATTGAGCTTAACTGCGCAACATTCTCTGCGCAGTCATTGCAGTGCATCATTCAAACAATCATACGCAAGAACAGCCCCACGCACAGGGGGGGAAACAAAAAAAGCAACGCAGTCCAGTCTTTACGCACTCGGTTTGGTACACTATTTAACACCCTGTCTCACTAAATAATCTTGGCACCCCACAACGCTGGGGTGGGCCTCATCACCAGGATTGAGGCAGAGAACCCTCAGTCCCTGGGGAGGCGTGGGAGGCGCGGGAAGGGCGAGCATTCGCTTTTGCGCGTGTGCGTCCACGTTGCACCAACATTCCCGGCAGCCTCTGCGGCACGGCCCTGGAGAACCTGGATGCGGAGCCTATGACTGAAGAATAGCCTTGGTCTACGACTTTTCTCGGCCTTGAACTACATTTCCCAGAGGCTTCGGGCCCCTATTATATTCTGCAGCATCAGTCACGAGTTGATCTTGCAGGTCTGAGTCAGCCTGCCTGCGTCTTTGGTCTTCGGTCGTCAGCCGCCCTCTCGCTGCGCTGAGGAGGCTCTGAAAAGGCTCCGGTCTTGGACCTGAACTGAGACTCGCATGTTGCGGACCTCCGGAACCGCTATCCTGGAGTCCTCCACCGTTTACGATGGTGAGCCCCGCATCTCTACGGCCGTGGATTTTCTGAGAGGAATGAGTGCGGGCAGGGGCAGGTCGAGTCTGTTGACTGGGAACGAGGAGGGAGGGCTCAGGGCTTGGCTTGGCTTGTGTGGATGGAGCCTGTGGCTACTTTACGTTTCTATTGGTTTCTAACGGATTGGCGCGGGTTGGCGCAGGGTTGAACTCCTGTGGCAGTAATTTGATGCAAGGGCCCTTTTGTGGCGCAGTTCATATCCAAATGCGAGGTTGATTCCTATCCTCTGCTCTGAAATCAGCTGCAGAAAAAATTCCTAAGGGGAAAGTTGAAAGTGGAACCCCAGAATGAAGGTCCTCAACAAAACGTTGGGGCTTGGACTCAGGGCGGGCGGCTGGGGCTGGAAGGGCACGTAGGGACGTTCCATGGAAAAGGTTAAGGGCGGTTTTCAGCATGGCTAACCTCTGGAAAAGCAAACAGGCTAGTGTTCCTCTGCGCATGCGTGTGGGAGTCGTGACGGGATGGCGGCAGAGACTGGGTTCAAAAAAGGTCAAATAGCTCACGCATCCATTTTTTCCCCACCCGCTGGGCCTGCCATTTTCAAAAGAAGGCTGGTGAGGAGGAGAGGAGAATCATTGCTGCGTATCTGAAAATTAAATTCAAGGTGAGGTTTTGGTTACTTTTTGTTCCTTTAAATCGCATTTTGTTTTTCAGAACATGGAAACGTCTGGAATCCTTCTGAAATGTAATATATCCCTTAATCCTAAGTTTTCCTTCCACAGTGAAATCAGACGTTGGAGGGGTAGATCCCGCTCTTTCTTGGAACCACCATGTCTTTCAGATTAATTGTGTACATATTCGTTTTGCAAATCTTTCAGTTTTTCCTGTTGACTCCGTTATTAAGCATTCATATGTTATAAAAATACAACTCTAGAAAATAATATTAGACCATTATTTTAGACGGTGATTCATTAAAGAAGAAAACATACTCTTAAATATATTCTTAATTTTCTGCACAGGCTTGAATTAGAAAGCAATGTAAGGGGAAGATTTGATGAATTTTAACAGTGACAAAGACTTTGCTTTTGAGACTTTTAGATTTAAGAATTTGGTGATTTGGGCAGAGGTCTGTTTAAACAAAGGTAGACATCCAACCTACTCTAGCAGCAATCCATAGTGAGGTCTTTTTTTTTTTTTTTTTTTTTTACTAATCAGGCAGTACAAGTTTGTTTTAGAATACACTTATGTGTGGTATATGTAAGCAGCAGTATGGTATAATGGCTAAGAGTATGGATGGAATACCTTGGGTAACTCCTGGGCAAGAATGCTGGCTAGATAGGTGAGCCTGAGTGGTAGTTTATTCAACCTCTCTTTGCCATAGTTTCTTAACTGTGAAAATGCTAATAATAATAATCGCACCTACCTCATAGAATTATGAGGGTTAGATGAGTTAATAGTGGAAAGTCCTTCTGACTATGTCCGATACATTCTAAATCCTCAGAAAACACTACCTGTTATTCTGATGTAGTGATTCTGGGTCATTCACCCTCAGCTTTCTGTACATCAAGAAAAAAAACAATGTGAAATTATTTTTGTTGGCACTCTTGGGTAAGAAAATGAAGCAAATGTTGAAGTCATATAGAAGAGCATTTTTTTAAAATTTATGTTTCTAGAAAACAACAACCCCTTGAAATGGTATATAGATTGTTGAATATATCCGTTGTGTGTGTGTGTATGTATGTGTGTGTGTATGTGTGTGTGTGTGTGTGTATATATATATATATATATATATGTATAAAACTTGTTCCTAATATGGAAAATGTTAAGTTAATCAAAGTGTTATACAATAGTATGCAGCTAATAAAATTTTTAAAGATACAGTCATAGGAAATGATTTGTATGTAATGTTAAACCATATTAATAATATGAACTGTTTCTCAGGAAATTGTTAAATTACATGAGTCACATTATTCATATTGTAATTTGAAGGATTTTTTCAAGAATTATAACTAAACTGGTTGTTTAATGGAGAAAAGATAAAGCCATTTTTATTCATTTGGTACCAAACACATTAATGTTTCATTTGCATACATTCACTTAACTGTGACTGAAATTTTTGCCTACCTAAATTTTGAACATTCACAGATAATATTGATACGAGAAGTGTCTCATTACATTAATGTGATATAGCAAAAGAATGTTCAAGAAGAGTGAGATGCTTATTTCAGTTCCTTGATTTCCTGGTTATTTGCACCCATATTGTGGACCTGTTTACTCTAGTTGTCTTAATGAGCAAAAAGCATGTAGAAAGAATCACATTAATTAATTCAAAGGAGACAGAGGACTGCAAGTTAGTTGTAGGTTTTATTTTACCTCTGTGCATATGAAAAGGAAACACCAATAATCCTAATTTGATTTGAAAAGCCTTCCAAATATCTAAAACCTTTTTAGATGTTAGAGATGTCAATGCCAGGATAGCAATTAATAGAACAGCCTTTCAAAATTACTTCATGTTTTTGAGATTTCCAATTACTCTCACAAGTTAAGTGTGGTGGCACACACCTGTAATTCCAGTGACTTGGCTGAGACAGGAGGATCACAAGTTCAAGGCCAGCCTGGGCAGCTTGTGAGACCCTGTCTCAAAATAAAAGGACTGCAGATGTAGCTCAGTAGTAAAGCACTCCAGGTTCAGTCCCTAGGATAAAAGAAAAAACAAATACTCTCAGATTTTAGCAGTATAATCTCTGAAATCCAAGTATCTTACAAAAACTCTCTAATAAAAACAATTCAAAAGGGATTGGGGTTGTGGCTTAGAGATATAGAGCGCTCGCCTGGCATAATAAAGATAATTGTGTCCACTTTTGACTAAAAAATAAGTTGTTTTTTTTTTTTTTTTTTTTTTTGAGAGAGAATTTTAATATTTTTTAGTTTTCAGCGGACACAACATCTTTGTTTGTATGTGGTGCTAAGGATCGAACCCGGGCCGCACACATGCCAGGCGAGCACGCTACCGCTTGAGCCACATCCCCGGCCCAATAAGTATTTTTTTAAAAAGACAATTCAAATAACAGAGTTTTAATAATAGAAAAAAAAAGAATAAGGAGCTGGGGTTGTAGCTCAGTGGCAGAGCACTTGCGTTGCACATGTGAGGCCCTGGGTTCGATCCTCAGCACTACATTAAAATAAACAAAATAAAGATATCAAAAAAATTTTTTTTAAATAAGATAGTAATAGCTATAATATTCACATACCCTGTTTCAGACAGGGTAATAAGATTAAGCCTTTATGTTGGGCACTGTGGTACCCCTGGACAAGGAGACTGAGATAGGAAGATTGCAAGCCTTCATTAACTCCTTCTGTGCCATTTTATCACATCAGAAATTTTTTTTTTTCCCTGATGCTTGTCTTGCTATGTTGCCCAGGCTGGCCTTGAACTCCTAACCTCAAGCAATCCCCCTGCCTTAGCTTCCTAAGTAGCTGAAACTACAAGAACTCACCACCATGCTGGGATCACATCAGAATTTTTTTTTTTTCCTGGTACCAGGAATTGAACTCAGGGATACTCAACCACTGAGCCACATCCCCAGCCCTATTTTGTATTTTACTTAGAGACAGGATCTCACTGAGTTGCTTAGCGCCTTGCTTTTGCTAAGGCTGGCTCTGAACTCACAATCCTTCTGTCTTAGCCTCTAAGTTATCTTTTTTCCTGAGAGAACTACATTCTCAGGTTGGGGTTGTGGCTCAGAGGTATAGCACTTGCCTAGCACATTCGAGGCCCTAGGTTTGATCCTCAGCACCACATTAAAAAAAAATAATAATAAAACTATTGTATCCAACTAAAAAATATTAAAAAAGGACTATATTTTCCAAACTTAGCTCTAAAATTCATATATTAGTATTATTAGTCATGATTGTAAATATAGAAAACCTGAAGTACCAAAAGAACTCTTTTTTTTTTTTTTTTGAGAGGATTTTTAATATTTATTTTTTAGTTATCGGCGGACACAACATCTTTGTTTGTATGTGGTGCTGAGGATCGAACCCTGGCCACACGCATGCCAGGCAAGCGCGCTACCGCTTGAGCCACATCCCCAGCCCCCCAAAAGAACTCTTAGGATTAATAAGTGGGTTTAGCAGGAGCACAGGATACAAGCTCATATATAAAGGTTATCATTTTTCTATATACCAGTAATGAACATTTAAAAGTTAAAGTTTTTAAAATGTACCATTTTCAGCCGGGCACCATGGCCTGTGCTTATAATCCCAGCAGCTTGGGAGGCTGAAGCAGGAGAAATGTGAGTTCAAAGCCAGCCTCAGCAACTTAGTGAGGCCCTAAGCAACTCAGCAAGACCTTATCTTTACATAAAATATTTTTAAAAAGTATGGGGCTGGGGCTGGGGATGTGGCTCAAGCGGTAGCGCGCTCGCCTGGCATGCGTGCGGCCCGGGTTCGATCCTCAGCACCACATACAAAGAAAGATGTTGTGTCCGCCGAGAACTAAAAAATAAATATTAAAAAAAATTTCTCTCTCTCTCCCTCCCTCTCTCACTCTATCTTTAAAAAAAAAAAAAAAATATGGGGCTGAGGTTGTGGCTCACAGAGTGCTTGCCTAGAAAGTATGAGGCACTGGGTTCAATTCTCAGCACATATAAATAAGTAAGAAAATAAGTAAAATAAAAGCCATCAAAAACTAAAAAAAAAAATGTTTTTTTTTTTAAAAAGGGCTGGGGATGTGGCTTAGTGGTTAAGTGCTCCGTGTTCAATCCCTGGTACCAAAAAAAAAAAAAAACAGTACCATTTTTAATAACTATCCAAAAAGTGAAGTATTCAGAGATAAATCTAACAAAATTAGAAAACTACAAACACTGATGAAAGAAATAAATGTACTCATGTATTCATACATAGATTTTTGTACATGAATTAGAAAATTAATACTAATACAATATCTTCTAATTTGATCTATACATTCAGGTCAGTCCCAACCAAAATGATAGCTTTTTCATAGATCTCAACAAGCTGATTCTAAAATTTTATGGAAAGGAAAAAGAACCAAAATAGCTAATATAATTCTAAAAGGATTCTGGGGGCTTCATTTTACTCTATTTCAAGACAATATAAAGCCAAGATAATCAAGTGCTGTAGTTTGGATCTGGTTTGTCCCTCAAGGGCCCCTGTGTTAAAGGCTTGGTCAAAGCTTGGCACTATTGGGAAATAGTGGAAACTTAAAAGGTGGGGCCTAATGGGAGGTTTTATGTCATTGGGACTGTGTCCTCAAAGGGGACTGCTGAATCCCCAAACCCTTCCTCCTCCTCTTTTTGCATCCTTCTCATGAGAGAGCAGCTTTGCTCTACCACATGCCCCACCATAATATGCCTCACCAGAGGCCCCCAAACAATGAGTCCAACTGACCATGGACTGAAACCTCCCAAACTGCGAGCCAAAATAAGCATTTTATAAGTCAATTATCTCAGGTATTTGTTATCATAACAGAAAGCTAAAACATCAACGCAGTGTAGTACAGGTGAGAGAATAATTCCAGATTAAAAGAATAGGCTGGAGCCAGGTGCAGTGGCACATGCCTGTAATCCCAGCAGCTGGGGAAGCTGAGCAGGAGGATCGTAAATTCTAAGCCAGCCTCAGCTCAGCAAAAGCAAGGTACTAAGCAACTCAGTGAGACCCTGTCTCTAAATAAAATACAAAAATAGAGCTGGGGATGTGGCTTAGTGTTTGGGTACCCCTGAGTTCAATCCCCAATCCCAGGTACCAAAAAAAAAAAAGGTCTGGAGAGCCCAGAAATAGACTCACATGTAATTTTTAACACTGATACAAAGGTAATTCACTGGGAAAAAGACAGTCTTTTCAACAAACGGTGCTACAATAATCAAACATCCATATGCAAAAAGAAAAATAAAAATCTTGGCATACTCTTCACCCTTTATCAAAATAATAATAGCAACAATAATAATCTCAAAATGGATTATAGACTTTAATGTAAAACATAAAACTCTGAAACTTCTAGAAGACAGAAAAAAATTATGTATAAATTTTATTTGGCATTGTCAGGTATTTTGTACAATATCCATTAGTTTAGATTTATCTAATATTTTCTCATGCCTAGATGCCCTGCCTGTAACAATTATTACTGGGATGCATTCATCATGATTTTCTATCTTCCTCATTCCTTCTGCATACATCAATTGGAATTCATCTGAAAGGAACTTTTGTTTGTTCCTTCTCCCCTAATTCTTGCTTTATTCAATCATTTACATTTGTTTGGATTCATAAATATTTCCTTATTATATTATATATAATCCAATACTATTTTATATATAATCCAGTACTACAGCTATTTATTTTGTTGGTCAAGTTGTCCTGGCTGTGGCCATTGAGAGTTTTTATATTAACTTCAATGTCCTTTTGACATAAGGATGCAAAACATATCTTTAAAAAAGAATTTAAAAGGTATGATAATTAAAAGGAAAAATTTACTAGAGGGTCTCAACAGTCAATTTAAATTTGTAGAGGAAAAAAAACAATAAACTTGAGAATGGACCAATATAGCCTACACTTGAGCCTATTAAAAAAAAAAATTCTTAAGAAGTCTCAGAGAAATGTATATGTGGAATGCTATTAAGTGTGTCTGTATGTATATATATATATATATATATATATATATATATATATATATATATATATATATATATATATATATAGTGACCATACCATAAAGAGAGGAGAGAGGAAAAAGGCTGAAAAAAAATATGAATAATGGCTAAAAACATAATTTTGATGAAAAACTCATCACCTGTCAGAGAAGCAGTGAAATTAAACCTGTCTTCCTTTTTGAGTCAGGATCTTGCTGCATTGCCCAGACTGGCCTCTAATTTGCCATCCTCCTGCCTCTGGCTCCAGAGTAGCTGGGATTATACGTGTTATCCCCTCACCTGGCTAAGGAAGGCAGTGGGATGACCTGTTAAAAGTGCTAAAGAGAAAACTCAATAAGGAGTTTTTAAAGGAAAACCATCTTTCAAAACTTTTTGGAGATGGACAAAGGCTGAGTGAATTAAAGAGAAAGGCAACCAGATGATACTAGAAGCAGAGGAGAACTGAAGTTGTGATGTGAGACCATTACCCAAGGAATGAGATGGTATCTAGAAGCAAGAAAGGTGATGAAACAATATCACCTGGTGAGACCCATCTAAGAGCAGGTCTTACTTAAATAAATCTGTATGAGAGTATATTTCTGTTATTTTAATTTGTTATTACTAGCAATAGGAAATCAGTACAAGTAGTAATTACAAGGAACACAGACAAGATATGCCTGTAAAGATAATTATGTCGGTAAATATAAAAAATACTTTTTACTCTTTTCCTTCAACTGAGGTTTTTATCTGGGGTGGAGGGAGCAGGCACTCAACCACTGAGCCACATCCCCAGCCTTATTTTGTATTTTTTTTTTTTGAGACTGGGTCTCACTGAGTTGCTTAGTGCCTCCCTTTTGCTGAGGCTGGCTTTGAATTCCTGCCTCAGCCTCCCCAGGCACTGGATTATGGGTGTGCACCACAGTGTCCGGCTTCAACAATAAAAGTATATTGCACCAAATAGTTACAAAATTATATTTTGGTGCTTATAACACAAAGATATAATAACACACACACTAGCACAAAGAGCAAAATAAAGTGGAAACAAATGATTGAAGCAAAAGTGACACAAAGAGTAGAAGAAAACCAATTAAAGCAAAACTTAAGTTTCTTGAATAATCAACAAAATGGACAAACGTTTAGCTCAACATAACTTCCTAAAAATGTTGAGGATTTTTGTGTCTATATTTACAAGGGATATAAGGATATTAGCTAGACTGACCAAGAAAAACAAGCAAAGTACTAAAGACAGGAATAAAAGAGGGAACATTTCTCATCTCTAAATATCTTATAAAATAAAAAGTATAGATTATAATGGTATATTATAAATGACTGCAAGTAGGCACTGGGATTATAGCTTAGTGGTAGAATATTTGCCTTACATGTATGAGACACTGGGTTCCATCCTAAGCACCACATAAAAATAAATAAAGTATTTTGTCCATGTACAACTATTATAAAATAAAATACTTAAAAATTTAAGTATGCAAATCAGACAAGAAATAACAAAGAAATAAATGACTGCAAATAGATTAGACAACTATTAGATGATACAAGTAAATTTCTAGAAGGATACAAATTACCAAAAAGAAGAAGAAATTATTAAAAAATACAAAATCTGAATGGACTTTTTTAAGAGATGGATTTTTAATTTAAAACTTTCTCACTAAGTTAACTTCAGACTTATATAGCTGCATTGTGGAATCTTACCAAACATTTAAGAAATAATTTTCATCCTTCACAGACTTTTATAGAAAATAGGGGAGTAAATACTTCCAAACCATCTGTGAATCCATTATTACACAGCTACAAAAGCCTGATAAAGACAGTAGAAGAATACCATAGACCAATATCCCTTGTGAATATAAGACAAACATCCTCCATATTTTTAGGAAGTTACATTGAGCGGCACAAAAAAAAATGACCAATGGGATTTATCCCTGCAATATAGGATTGGTTTAACACCCTAAAAATCAATTCTGTCAACAGAAAAAGCAAAACCACATTATCATCTCCGTAACTACCAAAAAAGTGGGTGTGTGCCACAGTGTCCAGCTTCAACTGAGTTTTATTTCTTTGTTATTTCTTGTCTGATTTGCATACTTCTTTTTTAAAGTATTTTATTTTATAAAAAAGTATTTGGCATAAGGTTAACATTTATTCATGGGGGTAAAATCTCAGGTCTGAATAAAAGGGAATTTCCTTTAACATTATGCTTTACCTTTAGGTTCAGGAATAAGAATGTTTGCTCCTACCAAGTTTCTTCAGACTTTTGGAAAAAAATAAATAAATCATCCAGACTGGGAAGAAAGAACTGAAATTGTCTATATTATATGGACGCATAATCATGTATGTAGAAAATATTTAAGTAATATAAGACATAAAGGTCACATACAAGATCTATATATAAATACTAATTGTATTTTTGTGTATTAGCAAGGAACAATGTAAAAATGAAATTAAAATAATTTTCATGTGCATATCTAAAGGAAAAAATTAAATGCAAGATATATAAACCAAACTACCATAAAAAATTGCTAGAATTAAATGAAAGAGCTAAATAAATGTTGAGACATCCCCTATTCTCTATTGAAAGAGTGAATAACAATATTATTAAGATGGCAGTACTTGTATTCTTAGTGGCTTGGGAAGCTAAGGCAGGAGGATCACAAGTTCAAAGCCAGCCGCAGCAAAAGCAAGGTACTAAGCAACTAAGTGAGAACCCTGTCTCTAAATAAAATACAAAATACAGGGGCTGGGGTTGTGGCTCAGCGGTAGAGCGCTTGCCTAGCATGCGCGAAGCCCTGGGTTCGATCCTCACACCACATAAAAATAAATAAACAAAATAAAGGTATTGTGTGCAACTAAAAAACTAAACATTAAATAATAATAATAATACAAAATAGAGCTGGGGATGTGGTTCAGTGGTAGAATTCCCCGGAATTCAATCCCCAGGCCCTCACCATATATATTTTTTTTTTTTTTTTTTTTTAAAGATGGCTATACTATCTAAAATGATTTCAGGATTAAGCGCCATCCCATCAAAATTCCAGCTGTTTTTTGTTTCCTTCAGAAAATAGCAAATTAACTCTAAAATCATATGGTTATGCAAAAGACCGAGAGTAGGCAAAGCCGTTTTTTAAAAAAGAGGAAGAGAGCTACCTAGCATGCAAGGGGCCCTGAATTTGATTCCCAGCACCCCACGCACCCACCCATCCACACACCCACACACACACAAAACAAAAGAGGAGTCATACCTCGATTTCAAAGCTTGATAGACTTAAATACCTACGACGTTCCGGCCTGCGGCAATTCGCGTGGCCATGGTTGCTGAAGCTAAGAAGGAGCTGCCCACGGAGTCCTCCACATGTAGAAAATCTACCTTTTAAGACAGTTCAGGGTGACATAGATACTATCTCTAAGGATCTCGGCATAGGGAATGTGGCTAGTGGGAGACACGCAGATTTAAAGGATTCTGCTACGTAGAATTCGATGTCGCGAGTCCGTGTCCTCACGTACCGCGGCGCACTGGTGGGTGCTCCATCACTTCACGTGGGCAATGCAGAAAGCAGAAACAAGGTAAAGATGGCTTTGGATTTAGGAAAGGTGGACCAGATGGCAGAGGAATGGGTGGCTCTCCAGAATCTGGAGGTGGCTGGGATTCCCGGGATGACATCAATTCCGGTTTCAGGGATGACGTGAAGGCCCGTGTGACCCGTGAGCAGGCCCTCCAATGGGGAGCCGCTTCAGAGATGACCCTCTTCAAATTCCAACGTGGATTTCAGAACCAACGGAAGAGGAAAGCTCGCAGATACCGCGATACCCCTCAATCTAAGTATCCAGTCCCAACTCCGCCGTCCTCAGGGCAGCCAGGCCCAGAGAGGGAGGCGTTCAGGATGAAAGGGGGCTGTGGGGGAGTTGGAGCAGGTCCACAGCCTGGTGGCCTGAACCGGCCACCCCGCAGTCACCATTCCCGCACCTGAGGTTGTCCTCCTTTCTTAAAACGGAAACACGGAGCTGGTGACACCTGTGGGCTGTGAACATCTTGGCTTCGCTGTCTCTGGTGTCTGTTAGGTGCCCCTCCCCACCTCATTCTTACCGTCTCCCTCCTGGCCTTTCTCCCTGCGCCTTGTTTTCATTTATTTATTTATTTATTTATTTATATATAAAATTTACATTTCTTTAGTTGTAGATGGACCTAATGCTTATTAGGGTTTTTTTGTTTGTTTTGTTTTTTGTTTTTTTTTACTGTGGTGCTGGGGATGGAACCCAGTGCTTCACGCGTGCTAGCCAAGTGCTCTACCACCCAGCCCCAGCCCGCCTGGTTTTCCTCCCAGCACACGGGGATCTGCAGGAGGACGGCCGCGCCATGTGGGAGTGTCCACCAAGCGGCCTGTTCACAGTTTTCCTTCGCTTCCTCTTTTTACTTTAGACACACTGGCCAGACTCCGGGCGCTCCCTTTGATTTGTCTCGGTGATACTCTTCCCACCTGCGCGCTGAGTTCCGTGTTGCCTCAGTATTTCTCTTCCGACCTGCGCGTTGAGTTCCGTGTTGCTATGGCTTCCGGAACAGAGCGGAAGTTGCTGGCAGATTGACCAGCATCTAAAACAAAAATTGGCACCTTGTTTTAAAACAAGGGGAAAAAAATTGCTGAACCCTGCAGATTCCTTCCTGTTCCTATTTAAAAAGTCTCACCATCACCCTTCCCAGATGGACTGTCCAGTCCAAAGAGGCTCATCACAGCGGAAGCCCTAAGAGGAGTAGTGGGAAGGCTGGTGGGCGCCGAGGTGATAGCGCTCTGTGTGTTCATGCAGTTTTGCTACCACTCCTTCAAGACCATGGCAGAGTAGTCCTTCCTGGCCCTGGTGGAGCGGGCAGCCAACTAACGCGTTTCCTCCAGGTGGAGGCGCTAAGCTGGGCTAGTGTCACATTGTGCTGAGGTGGCTTTTCCCCGCCTCGGCGTGGTGTTTCCCCTTCTCCCGTGTGTCCATCTGTCCTCTAGTAGAAATAACATGTTGAGAGGCTCTGCTTCCCACCGTCTTGTGAATTCAGAGTGAAAATGGGCCTAGAATCCAGTACTTCATTTGCATAGCTGTCAAAACCTGTAATAACTGTAGGTAATTATAAATGTCTAGGTTTGCTGCTGAGTCTTTGGGACAGTATTGTTCCATGTTCAATGTTTAGCTCTCTCCTGGGGGTAAGGTGTTAGACAACAGCATTTGAGATTGAACATCGGCATATGAACAGAGGGAATATTTTTTAGCTTCTCCACCCTGGGGAGGAGAGAGGCCAGGAAGGCTGGGGCCTTTACTATATCGTTGTTAGGTGGTGGTTCCCAGATAGTTGTAGTCCTGGGTTACCTCAGCAATATACTGAACTCTCTCTCCTTCCTTCTGCCTGTTATTTTCTCTGCTTCTGAGATAGCATTTTTGTCACACTAATACTTAAACCCTAAATATGAAAAGGTAAAGAATAAAACAGATTCATTAAATATAAGAATGGAATTCGGAACACTTAACACATTCAGCTATATGACAAAAAGTAAATGGATATGGTATTTTGTGAATGATCTCTTAAATAAAGAAAACCTTACATAATGAAAAACAATACAGGGCTGGGGAAGCGAGTTCGCTTGGCATGCTCGGGTCGCTGGGTTCGATCCTCAGCACCATATAAAAATAAAAAAATAAATAAAGATGTTGTGTCCACCGAAAACTAAAAAATATCTTTAAAATTCCCTCTCTAAAAAGGAAAACAATACAAAGCCTCAGTAATCTAAAAATATAGTATTAACATAAGGAAAAACATAGACTAATGGAACAGAATTCAGAGTTCAGAAATAAACTTTGCAATTATGGTAATAATTTATTTTAATAATAATTTCCTTTTTTTGGAGGGGGTGTGGTCAATTGATTTTCAACAAATGTGCCAGGACAATTCAATAGGAAGGGGATAATCCTTTCAACAAATTAAGATGGAACAATTGGACAAACATATGTAAATGGTGAACTTTATTTCTTACATACCATAGACAGAAATTAACAAAATAGATGATAGGTATAAATGTGAAATCTAATTATAATGCCCTTGAAGAAAATATAGGAGAAAATTTTCATGACTTTGGCATATGTAAAGATTTATATGTGATCACTAAATCACAAATTATTTTTTTAAGTGATTAACTGGTCTTAAAGATTAAAATTTTTGTCCTTCAGAAAACACCAAACTGCTTAAAGTGTAGCACAGTGGTCGATCACTTGCCTAGCATGCGTGAAGATCTGGGTTCAATCCCTAGGACTGCAAAAACCAAAAACAAAAGAAAGTAAAGCCAAGTCATAAATCAAGAAAAAATATTTGAAAAAAATCATATAATATATAGCTTGTGTCTAGAACATAGAAAGAAGACTTATAACTCAATAGGAAGATTGGTAACTCAGTTTTAAAATGTGTAAATACTTTTTAAATTTTTCTTAGTGTATCAGGGACAGAGTCTCACTGAGTTGCTTAGTGCCTCACTGTTTGTTGCTGAGGCTGGCTTTGAACTTGTGATCCTCCTGTCTCAGCCTCCAGAGCTACTGGAATTCTAGGTGTATGCCACCCCACTGGACAATGATTTATTTAAAAATATATATATTTTTTTTTACTTGTAGATGGACACACTACTTTTTTTTTTTTTTTTTTTTTTTTTTTGGTACTTAACCACTGAGTCACATCCCTAGACTTTTGAAAAATATTTTATTTAGAGACAGGGTCTCACTAAGTTGCTGGTCTCACTAAGTTGCCTAGGGCCTCACTAAGTTGCTGGAGCTGGCCTTGAACTTGAACTCCTCCTGCCCTAGCCTCCCAAGCCACTGGAATTACCTTGCCCAACACAATACCTTTATTTTACTTATTTTTATATGGTGCTGAGGATCAAACCCAGTGCCTCACATGTGCAAGGCAAGCACTCCACCACTGAGTTACAATCCCAGCCTATAAATCGTGTAAATGATTTAAATAGACATTTCACAAGAATGAAGTACTAATACATGCAACAGCATCAACAGACCTCAAAACCATTATACCAAGTAACAAATGAAAGACAAAAGGCTATATATAGTACGGTTGTATTTATATGAACTATCCAGAAGAAACTAAGATAGAAAGTAAATTGGTAATTGCTAGAAAGTGGAATTGGAAACAGAAAGTAATTACAAATGGTATGAGGTTTATTTTATTATTTTAGTTGTTGATAGACCTTTATTTTATATATGTGTTGTGCTGAGAATTGAACCCAGAGCCTCACACATGGCAGGCAAGTGTCTGAGCCCCAGCCCCAATGAAATGTTTTAAAGTCAGATCATGATAATGATTGCTTGACTCTGAAAATTTACTAAAAATTATTAATAGAGCATTTAAGTGGGTATTATATAAGTCATATCTCCAATAAAGCTTATTGTTGTTGTTGTTGTTGTTTTTTTTTGGGGGGGGGGGACCAGGGATTGAACTCAGGGGCACTCAACCACTAAGCCATATCCCTGGCCCTATTTTGTATTTTATTTAGAGACGGGATCTCACTGAGTTGCTTAGTGCCTCGCTTTTTGATGAGGCTGGCTTTGAACTCACAATCCTCCTGCTTCAGCCTCCAAAGCTGCTGGGATTCAGGCGTGTGCTACCATGCCTGGCAAAGCTGTATTTTAAAAGACTTTTTTTAGAAATAAACCCATATACCAGGAAGATACAAAAAGGAACCTGCAGGGAGACTTATCAAGTGTACGATGTCTTTTGGAAATTTTGGCCATGTCTAGGTATGAAAAATATGCTTAGAAAATCAAACGGAGGAATAATAGAATTTGTTTACATTTTGGGAGCTAAAGGAAAGTATGAAAAGCAATTCATTTAAAATACAAGCATGAAGCAGGGTGAGATGGCACATGCATGTAATCCCAAACACTTGGAAAGCTAAATCAGAAAGATCAAAATTTCAAGGCCAGCCTTAGTAATTTAGCCTAAGCAACTTAGACTCTGTCTCAAAAAATAAAAGAGCTGGGAATATGGCTCAGCGGTAGAGCACAAGGCTCTTTGTTCAGTCCCCAGTATTGAAAAACACACACACACACCCCTACAGGCATGGTAATGGATGAGTGCATAACTTTCTATTCATTTTGCTACCTATTGATGTCTCTTTGACTATTTTATTGTGTGTCATGTTTTATAAACTGATTTTATCCCTGACAGGATATACTGATTTTTTTCCATATTCAAACCAGTTCTGCAATTTAGCATTTAATAACTATGATCCATTATGTGGATTTATTATAATGTATTGAACTAGCCAGCCATTCTTAGTCCTGTGAAGCTGAATTACTCCCAATTTCTGTATTGGGAATTTGTTTTTTTTTTTTTCTTTCAAAGTAGGAGCACTTAGGAATGTGGCATTAACTTCTACCAAGTAAAATACAGGCAACTATACCCGCCCAATTTTGATATTAGAAGTAGCTAATCTTTAAACCACTTAACTGGATTTTACTGATAAGAGAATATTTCCCATACCATAATTCACAGTCTGCCCTCTGGGACACAGTATTTTCTTCACTGTGGTTCTGTAAAGTGCTCAGCCAGATTTCTAAAGGATTGATTTGATATTTGGAAATATGAAAATGGACAAAAAGAACAAAGAGTCGATATATGCTACAACTTAGAAGAACCTCATAAACATGTGAAGGCCAGACACAAAAGGACATTGAATATTATTGTATAATCTCTCTTCTTTTTTTTCCCACTCAGCCTCCTGAGTAGCTGAGTTTACAGGTGTGTGCTACCACACCTGGCTGTATAATCCATTTTATAAAACATATACGGTAGACAAATTTATAGATACAAAAAGTAGATTACCAGAAAATGGGGGAGAGAGAAATGAATAGTAATTATTTCATGGATAGTATTTATTTTTAGGGGGCAATGATAAAGTTTTGAAACTAGAGAGAGGTTGTAATTATACAATGTTGTGAACACACCACTTAATTCTACAGTTTAAAATAATTCTAAGTTACATGAATTTCACATCAGTTAAAAAGGGCAATGATATTGTCATAAGAATAGATAGGTAGATCATTGTAGTAGAATTGGGAGTCCAGAAATTAGCCCATACTATTCAATTTGGAAAGAATCATCCTTTCAACAAGTAGTGCTGGGAAAACTGGATAGTTAACATGCAAAACAATAAAGTTGGTCCCCTGCCTTACACCCTATGTAAAAGTTAGGTGGATGTGGTAGTGCTTGGCTATAATCCTAGCTACTCAGGAGACTGGGACAGGAGGATTACGAATTCAAGGCCAACCTCAGTAACTTAGCAAGACCATGTCTCAAATAAAAAGTGTTAGGGGTGTGGCTTAGTGGTTGACTGCCACACAGTGCCATTAAAAAAAAAAAAAAAAAAAACTAAATGTAAGAACTAAAATTATAAAACCTTTAAAAGAAAATAAAAGGATAAGTCTTTGTTTGGCAAGGAATTCTTAAATATTGTATCAATAGCTCAGGCAACAACAACAAAAACAGGCTTTTTTTTTTTTATTTTTTAGTTTTAGATGGACACAATATTTTTATTTATTTTTATGTGGTGCTGAGGATCAAACCCAGTGCCTCATGCATGCTAGGTGTGCACTCTACCACTGAGCCACATCCCTACCCCCCAAAAAATAGGCAAATTGGACTTCATCAGAATTAAACATTTTGAGTAACTCAAAAAGCCCAAGATATCTTTTGAAATTTTTAAACATATTTTTAATTATAAATGAACATAATACCTTTATTTTTTGAGAGAAATTTTTTAATATTTATTCCTTAGTTTTCGATGGACACAACATCTTTATTTTATTTTTATATGGTGCTAAGGATCGAACCCACTGCCCCGTGCATGCCAGGCGAGCGCGCTACCGCTTGAGCCACATCCCCAGCCCTATTTGTTTGTTTTTATGCAGTGCTGAGGATCGAACCCAGTGTCTCACACATGCTAGGGAAGCACTCTACCACTGAGCCACAGCCCCAAGCCCAAAATATTTGTTATCTCATCCTTTGCAGGAAAAGTTTGCTTACCCCCAATCTATATCATTTTTATGACTTGTTGTTTTCTGGTATGTGTATACAGTAGAATTTATTTAACCTATTCTTTATTGAAGGCTATTTATTATTTCCCAGTCTTTTCCTTTTTAAAATTAGTTTATTTGCCCCTGTTTGCATATATCTTTTTGCCCACATATAAATTATTTTCTTTAGGGTCCTAAAAATAGGATTGTTAAACACCTGGCTTGTATTGGTTTTTGTAGTTTTGTTTTGGAACCAGGGATTAAACCCAGGAATGCTTAACCACTGAGCCACATACCCAGCCTTTTTTTTGTGTGTGGGTGTGGGTGTGGGTGTGGGTGTGGTGCTGGCGATTGAACCCAGGGCCTTGTGCATGCAAGGCAAGCACTCCACCAACTGAGTTATATCCCCAGTACCACCTAACCCTTTTTTTATATTAGAAACAGGGTCTCACTGAGTTGCTCAGAGCCTCACTAAGTTGCTGAGTCTGGGTTTGAACTTGTGATCCTCTTGCCTTAGCCTCCTAAATCACTGGGATTATAGGCGTGTGCCACCATGCTCAGCTTGTAGAGAAATTCTTGTAACTGAAAAAAATAAATTACTACTAGTTCCTGAATATTTATTTTATTTTACCAATACCTGAGATCCTCCTCTGTTTGTTTTTATATCACATCAACATGAATTAGAAAATTTACCCTCTTGTAAGTGATACCATTGTATGACATTGTGTGTCTATTTTGTTCCAACCTTGCTAACATGTAATCAGTCTTTTAAATCCATCTGTGAACTAAACATAAAATGTTACTTGTCCCTTCAACATATCTTCTTAATTAGCAACATTTAATACTTCCTGGTAAGTTACTTCTATTATTGTTCATGCTCAGGTTTCCTAAGGTGTCATAAGAAATTCTGCATATCCATAGCAAGAGCAGAATTGAAAACAAACTGGCTTTGTAGTTGGACAATTCTGGAATCAGAACTCATATGTGCCATTAATTAACTGGATTTAGGTTTCTGTTTCTAGTGTTTGAAATGGAGATAACAGTGTTTTAGGGCTATTCTGAGATATATGGCATGTATCAATCATATAAAAGTTGACTTTCTTTTTTAACCGATGTAGGGATGATAAATTCACTTTTCACAAAGTTTGGGTATGAAGAAAGAGTAAGAAGGATGTCAAGCAGAAAAATCCTGTGGATGATTCTGACTGGGGGAAATGGGGAGCTGCAAGCCCTGAGAATTCTGGTAGTTCTAGTTCAGGTGAGGGTAGGAATCCCAGTAGGCAGGTACAGTTTTGCAGTGATAAAGGCTGTCACGCATTGTCCATGCTGGAGGTCAGCAAATGTCACATCAATAAAGGAACAAATACTAAGTATTTTAGGCTTTATAGGCCATATAACTCTGTTAAATGGCTATTGGAATTTTCTGAAAGTAGCCATAGACAAGAGTAAACGGATGGTCCAGATTTAGTTCATGGGCCATAGTTTGCAGACTCCCAGTCTGTTCTGCCTTTTGTCTTCAAATCCAGGGAGGCCAGGAAAGGCTTAAAGCAAGGAAAACTGCCGTCTGTTTTAGTTTGTGTGGTCACTTTTTAGAATTGAGAATCAGGAAGGAGAATCTAGTCAGGGCAGTTCTGAACATCCCAGCCTTGGGCGGAGATCAGCATCTTCATAGTGGGGATTACCCAGAACTCCCCTGCTGAAGATACTGATCATGAGTTCTAATACAGGCGAGCCTCTGCTCTTTACAGTAGCCCAGCTTCCTTGACAGGGAGAATACAAGGGAGGAGCATGTGAGGGAAGTATGGGTGCCAGTGTTTACAAGCAAGAATAGAGAAGAAAAGATTATTTGCATCCTTTTGAAACAGCCTCTTGTCATTGGTTCATTTTTTTTTTTTTCTCATCCAATTCAGGTTTCTCAGAACTTTGCTTCTCTAGAAGAACCCTGAGGAAGACTGGCCAGTTCTTGTAAACCTAAAACCATGGCTCACGTAAGCAGCCATCTCTTTCTTTCTTGCGATTCCCCAACTCCCTTTTAGGGTCATGTGAAAGAATTTTCATTCTTTATACTGAACCTTCTTATTTAACTGAAGTTTTCTTTCATCTCTAATTGTCCCAGTGGCTCTTATATGCCCCTGTTTTCTTTAACAAATGTTCATCTGAACCTGACTAAACCTTGCAGCATCTGCTGTGCATGCATTCTCTGTCTGCAGCACAAATGGGGCAAAAACGAAGTCTCCGGAGGGAAGTATTTTACCTCATCAGAGCTGAAGTGTGATCAAACAAAGGATGAGCTTATCTGATGACACACAGGAAAACTAAAGTTTTCCAGGGAACTGTGTCTGTAGGCAAAATGCAGTTTAGTGTTGATTGGCTTCATTCTCGATATATGGTTGGGTTCTGTGTATGGAGCAATCGGGACCTTTTCTGGGAATCTCCAAGAGGTGAAAATCCACAATAGGAGCCATTTTGAGGTTGAATGGAATAAGCTGGTCTTGACATCTGTGTGATTTGGCTAATTCTACATCAAGATTCTTTGTTCCAGGAACAAAGAAAGTGTACAGTATTTATAAGAAAATCACCCAGAGGCATAAATATTAGATCTTTGTATTCTCCCATGATTAGAGAAACCTTAAGAGAGATTATCTAACATAAATGTCTTACTTTCTGGATTCTATAATTAAGTTTGTTATATCCATAAGATTGTATTTTTATTATTATTATTAATTATTATCATTATTACTATTATTATTATTTTGCAGAGCTAGAGATGGAATCCAGGGTCTTGTGCAGGCTAGGCAAGTGCTCTAACACTGAGCTACACTCCTAGCCTGCTTCATTATTACTTAGCTGATTAAAATAATTTATATCCCAGCAGCTCAGGAGGCTGAGACAGGAGGATCAAGAGTTCAAAGCCAGCCTCAGCAAAAGTGAGGTGTTTAAGCAACTCAGTGAGATCCTGTCTCCAAATAAAATACAAAATAGGGCTGGGGATGTGGCTCAGTGGTCAAGTGCCCCTGAGTTCAATCCCTGGTAATAGTAGTGATAGTAATAATAATAATAATAATTATTATTATTATTATTATATTTGTTTTTTGTAGTTGTAGTTTGGACACAATAACTTTATTTATTTTTATGTGGTGCTGAGGATCGAACCCAGGGCCTTGCACATGCAAGGCAAGCTCTTTACCACTGATCCATAATCCCAGCCACTATTATTATTATTATTTATAAGATGGGCCCAGTGTCTATAATCCCAGCTGCTCAGAAGACATAGGTGATTAATATCACCTGAAGCCACAAAGTTCAGATGAGCCTAGACTCTGTCTCACATGAATAAATGAATAACATTTATAATAGAATTGCCCAAATAAGGAAAAATTAGGACATAATGACATAAAGATTAAGCTGAATATTTTAAAAATTCTTTAATTTTATACAAACCCATTATTCTAGGAGATATTTTATATAGTATTTTTTTTAATCTTTATTTTTATGTGGTGCTGAGGCTCAAGCCCAGGGCCTTGCAAGTGCTAGGCGAGTGCTCTTCTGCTGAGCCCCAGCCCTTATATAGTATTTTTTTTTTAAATTTATATGATTTTAAGTAAAGGAAAAGATGAATTTGCTTGTATCCACTGTTTAATTTAATTGGGCAACATTTAATTTGTTCTCAGAAATGTTTGAGTAATCAAAGAATCCCATAATATATAGGAAATTTTGCATGTAGCAACTAGATTCTTCAAGAAAATAAGGCCATTCTACTCAAACACCAGTGTCATTCCTATCTCTTACCTTTGTCATAAGCTTTCAGCCCTAGCCTTTGTTTTGTATAGTCTCCCACTTGCTGCAATGAAATATTTTATCTCCTCTTTTTCCTTAAGTATGCATTCTATAATTTCACCAGTAATGTGTTGGTTTCTCATTTCAGAAACTAGTGAAGTTCAGTGATGTGTCTGTAGTCTTCTCTCAAAGGGAATGGAAGTGCCTGAACCCTACTCAGAGGGAATTGTACAGAGATGTGATGCTAGAGAATTATAGCAACTTGGTCTCACTGGGTAAGGTCATTTACCTCAAATAATTTAAACACTGCTCTCTGAAATAATAGCTTTCCCTTACATGAATTCAGAACATTTGTTTATTTTGTGGTACTGGGGATTAAAACTGAAGGCCTTATCCTGCTAAACACATCATTTACCACTGAGCTATATCTCTAGCCCTTTAGGACTGTTTTTTACGAAAGTAACTGAATTTCTTCCCTGTTACTCAAGGAATTAATTGAACTTCACTGGTATGTAAATAGCATTTCACCACACTGTAGTGATCTTCATGAACCATTTCCTTAATCCATTGCCATAGTTACATCTTTTTTGATGACTAAGGGACTAGATTTGAATTATGGGATATTTATTCCAAAGTCAATTTCAAAGAAATAACGTTTCACATTGAAGTTGAGCTTAGAATTGCTTATGGGGGCTGGGGATGTGGCTCAAGCAGTAGCGTGCTCACCTGGCATGCGTGCGGCCCGAGTTCGATCCTCAGCACCACATAGAAAGATGTTGTGTCCGCCGAAAACTAAAAAATAAATATTAAAAAAAATTCTCTCTCTCTCTTTAAAAAATAAAATAAAATATATAGAATTGCTTATGGTTGTTCTATTTGGCAGAATAACAGTCCTACCCAGAGTCACGACTTATGTCATAATTTAAATTAGTAATGTATTTAAAAATAAAATGAATGCATTCTGTTTCTCACACCAAACACCTCGTGATTGAAAATTAAAATCCATTAACTTAGCTCTTGCTTCAAACTAGAGCTGGGGTTGTGGACTCAAAGGTATATTAAAAAAAAATCTCAGGCTGGGGTTGTGGCTCAATGGTAGAACGCTTGCCTAGCATGTGTGAGGCACTGGGTTTGATTCTCAGCACCGTATATAAATGAACAAAATAAAGGTCCAAATAAAATAACACCAACTTTGTTTAAAAAAACTCAAAAAGAGAGAACTTTGGGCTGGGATTGTGGCTCAGTGGTAGAGCGCTCACCTAGCACAGGTGGGACCCGGGTTCGATCCTCAGCACCACATAAAAATAAAGGCATTGTGTTGTGTCCATCTACACCTAAAAAAAAGAAGAACAACAACAACAACAACAACTTCAAACTATCTTAGGAAGTTTCTTTTGCTCCAAATAAATTAGTATCAATAAAATACTAATAGCTAATAGAGTGCTTACCATATACCAAGAATTGTTCTAAATATTAGCCATGAAATAGGTATTACTTTTATTTTCATTCTACAAGTGAGAAAACTAAGGCCCAGAGAATTTAAGTGATTTGCTTACAATCATTGGTATGTAGATGGAAGAGCAGAATCTGAACCCTTATAGTCTGGCTCCAGAGTCGGTGCTCTCAGTTACTACTGTCTCTCAACAGAGTGAGTCTGCAGGAGTTTTAATTATAAAATGGGACCTTTTCCCTGCATATCAAGTTTCTTTATGCTCTAGGATCATGCGGTTACCCTAATTTGAGTATTCTTTAATCTTAGTTTTCTCTGAAGTATATATTGATATTATGGATCCATAGTTTACTACAAGTTTAATCAAGTCTTAAAATGTTTTTGAACTTGGCATATCATATCACTTTTATATCTTGTTGTATTTCTTTCTTGTAATCAGGATATTCTGCCTCAAAGCCAGAAGTGATTACCTTATTGGAGCAAGGCAAAGAGCCGTTCATTGTGATTGGAGATGTGCAAGGAAGACGGTGTGCAGGTAAGTGAGGGCTCACCAGGTAAATGCCAACAAAGGCCAGATGGTCAAGGTGGGGAGCACAGGTTTGCATGTTGTTATGGCCTAAGAGAGGGAAGAAAACAGATTTTTCTTAGTGTAAATACCAAAAGAACTTTTATGTGCATTCTCAGTTATCACTGTCTGTTTTTTCCCCTTCTCATATTACCCTCTAATTTCAATTAGAGATTGTCAGGAGGGAAGAAGGGAGGGAAAGAGGAAGATCTGGGAACTGAAATAGAGCAAACGCTTACATGAATTTATGAATATGTCAAAATGAACCCAAATATTAAATATAACTATAATGCACTAATTTAAAAAATTCAAAAGAAAATGCTCTCTTTCCCAGTGCAACCAATTGATTTCCATATTTTTTTCCTGCAGTGATTCTTAAGCTTGTCTCCAATTCCTGAAAGTTCATTCATTTACCTATTCAGCATATATTTACTGATTGCCTTCTCTGAGCCAGGCAGTGTGCCAACTATAACATATATTTTGGCAAACAGACTAAAACCTCCCACATTAATGAAGTTGACAGTGTAGAATGGGAGACACTCAGTAAACTGTAAACCAATGAATAGATAATATAATGTGAAATCATGATGCATGCTATAAAGGAAAAGTATGAAGGGTGAGGAGGTGGAGTTGGGCTCGGTGCTCAGCAAAGCCTTTTGTAAGGAGGGGATATTTGTGCAGAGACAGGAAATGCGGGCTTATATCCTGTGAATAACTGGAAAGAAATCATCTCATGTGAAGAGGGCAATGAGATTTTTATGTTTGCAGAACAGCAAAAAGCTCAGAGCATATTTAGAGGGGGGAAGAATACTAAATAAGAGTTAAAGTTGAGCAGGAGCCGAATCTTAGTTTTTTTTTTTTCCCACAGTGGGAAATTTGGATTTTTCTTTTCAAAGAAAGATTGAAAGCCATAATCTCATATGTTTTTAAATGATCATAATATATACTATGTGGAGAATATACTAAATGGAGGCAAGATTGGAAGTAGAAAGGTCAGTGAACAAACTACTTCAGAGGTCTATACTAGTCATAGCAGTGATAGTAACTTGGATTAGGATGATGGTGAAAGGGTGGTGTATTCATCTTGTGCTTTGGAAGCAGAGCTAATAGACCTGCTATGAGGTATAGGTGAAAGAGATGAATAGAATCCAGCTGATCTAGGCAGACATGAAAGATGGCTTGGGGGATGGAAATAGAGTTCTGTTTTAGGTATCCAGTTTTCCCTTGGTATCCATGGAGGATTGGTTCTGGGGTTCCCAACTGATCTCAAAATCTGTTCAAGTCCCTTAAAGTCATCTCTGGATTCCTTATAATACCTAAGACACTGTAAAATGCTACATACATAGTTCCTACATTATATTTTTAGGGAATAATGACAAGAAAAAAGATGTATGTGTTCTGTATGTGTTCAGTACAGATAAAATTTATTTTCACATATTTTAGTCTGCATTTGATTGAATCCATGGATACCGAACCTGCAGATATATTACAGTTAAGATGCCAGTGCCAATGGTATCTGAGGATGAAAACTTGCTAGCTATGGCTCAGAAAAGGAGGTGAGGCACTGGTGATGGTGATATAGAAAATTGTAGGTTGGGAATGTGGTTCAGTGGTAGAGCTCTTGCCTAGTATGTGTAAAGCCCTGGATTCAATCTCCGATAACATGTGCACGCACATACACACAGATACATACATACACAAAATGCCTATTTGTCATCAAGGATGAGACATTAAGCTGGCATCTGAAAAAAGCAAGTTTAGCATTCAGGGAGAGGTTAGGACTAGTTATATAAATTTGGGTGTCCAACCAGGGGACTAGATGAGATATTTAGGACTGCTATAACCTACCACCTATTTTTAGAAATAAAGTATTATTGGAACGTAGCCATAGCTATTTAGTTACATATTGTCTGTGGAAGATGAGTAGTTGAGGCCCACAGAACCTAAAATTTTTATTGTTTGGCCCTTTACAGAAAAAAATGTATTGGCCCCTCCCCTAGGAAATGGGTATTAAAGGAGGCCAGAAGAGACAGAGATGATGGAGGCCCTTTATTTAGAGAAGGAAGAAGAGGCAGCATGTAGATTTTGGTCACACAGACCTGGAGAGAGTGGTGCTATGAAACAAATGAGGAAAATGTTTCAGGAAGGAACAGTAGATACAGGTGGACTGAACTGAGCTTCACCCACAGGATATGGCAGGAAGGAAATTCTTGGTGACCTTGTGTCAAGGGGATAAGGTTTCAATGGTATTGAGGATGAAACTTGCTAAGTATGGCTCAGAACAGGAGGTGAGCCACTGGTGATGGTGAGATAACAAGAGATTTTGTTAAGAAATGAACTAGAGATGGGTTTAGAAGCTAGAAGGGTGTGTGGGGTATGATGAGTCAATTTTAAGATGAGAATGATGTGGCTCAGAGGTAGAGCATGCAACTAGCATGTGTGAGGCATTGAGTTCAATCCACAGCACCACATAAAGTAAAATAAAGACATTGTGTCCACCTATAACTAAAAAGTAAATATTAAAACAAAAGATGAGAATGAGTCCATAGAAAGAAAAAATATTGAGGTAGAAAAAAGGATTATTATGGAAATTGGGGAGGAGTAGGATCCAGTTCATAAGGAAGAATTAAGAGAATTATAAATACGATATGGATACAGGTGAGTTGATGCGACAAAGGAATGGTTATTTCTTTTTTTCAATATTTTTTTTAGTTGTAGATGGACACAATAACTTTATTTTTATTTTTATGTGATGCTGAGGATCAAACCCAGTGCCTTCCACATGCAAGGTGAGCACTCTATCACTATGCCACAGCCCCAACTCATTCTTCTTTTTTTTTTTTATTGGATACAATACCTTTATTTTTATTTATTTTTTTTTTTGTGGTGCTGAGGATTGAACCAAGTGCCTCACTTGTGCTAAGGAAATGCTCTACCACTGAGCTACTACACCCCAGCCCTGTTTTTATTAGAGGAGTAAGAGAAATCATCAGCCAAGAATTGGAAGGGTGTTTGAATTGGAAGAATTGGAAAGTGTGTTTGAAGTAAAAAGGTGTTAAATATATTTTTAATATTTGAAAGAATGATCAAGGCTCGTAGTCGGAGAAAATGCCCCTTTATTGAGGAACAGCTCTGCATATTTATAGAGCCGGGAGTGGTTTGACAGTTATGACAGTTTAATGGTTGAAGGGTTTGACAGTTGGCATGGGGTGCTTTCTGATTGGTGGGTAAAGATCATGTGAGCCACCAGGGCTAGTCTGATTGGTGGGTAAGGATCATGTGAGCCAGCAGGGCTCACCATTGGACAGCTCTTCTTGGGGGATGGGGAAGTTAGTCTTTGGAGCCGGGGTGATCCCAACAATATTGATATTCGATTTACCTACACTTCAATGGCTTGTGTACCTTTTGTGTTCTGAGGACCACCAATGAAAAGTAATAATAGTTAACAGAGCACTTAATCTACATAGCTCAGGCAGTCCTCATAACGGCTATAAGAAAAGTACTATGAACTAAGCAGGGTTGTTACCCACTATAATTCCAGAGATTACAGGAACGGTGACACAGGCTAGCAATTCCAATTAATTGAGAGGTTAAGGCAAAAGGATCACAAGTTTGAGGCCAGCCTTGGCAACTTAGTAAGACCCTGTCTCAGAATAAAAAATTTTGAAGTAGTAGGGTAGCTCAGTGGTAGTACTCCTGCATTCAATCCCCATCACACACACACACACAAAAGTATTATTATATTGTTATTTTATAGAATAAAGAAACAAGAACACATAGAAGTGATATACCTTACATAAGGTAAAGTAATAGAGATGGAATTCAGACTCAGTATGCCTCAAGAATCTTTACTCTTTCTTTTTGCTCGGGGGATTGAATCCAGAGGCACTTCACCACTGAGCAACATCCCCAGCCCTTTTTTATTTTTTCGTTTTGAGACAGAGTTTCACTGAGTTGCTTAGGGCCTCACTAAGTTGCTGAGGCTGCCTCCTGAATTGCTGGAATTACATTGTGCCCCATTGTACCTGGGAAGAATCTTTACTCTTAACAAATGAATATGCCTTCAACACATGTTTATTTAATGGCTCCTTTGTCCAGTACATATGGATTTTTTTAAAGGAAGAAGAGTTTAAACTTTTAAATCAAGATTTCAGGGGCTGGGATGTGGCTCAAGCGGTAGCGCGCTTGCCTGGCAAGCGTGCGGCCTGGGTTCGATCCTCAGCACCACATACAAAGATGTTGTGTCCGCCAATAACTAAAAAATAAATATTAAAAAAAATTCTTTCTCTCTCTCTCTCCCTCTCTCACTCTCTCTTTAAAAAAAAAATTTCAGTCAAAAATGGGAATATGGGGGCTGAGGTTGTGGCTTAGTGGTAGAGCGCTCGCCTAGCATGTAGGAGGCCCTGGGTTTGATCCTCAGCACCACATAAAATAAATAAATAAAATAAAGGTATTGTGTCCAACTACAACTAAAAAATATAATTATTAAAAAAATGGGAATCAGAATATGTGACCTTTATGAATAATTGAAAGAGTGACCATATACTTAAATGAAAGTCAGGATGGTAATGTGGACACTGGATACTCTTGGGAAAAATCTGAAAGAGGTACAGTGACAAAAGTGATGAAGAAGGAGAGAAGGAGAGAAAGAAAAGTAAAATCAGGAATACAGGGTCTTGGGGGCCGAAGTCCAGAAGAGGATCTTACTCCATTTAGCAAACTGGCAATTAGATACAGTTCAATGGGCAGAGGTCATATTGTTAGGAGCGTGCGTTTTTTTCTTTATCAAAAATAAAGGAAATAGAAATTTTATTTCTTTTTTAATGGGTTTTAAGGAATCAGAGAAACACATATAAGAGTGTGTACAGTTTTACATCATTTCACTACATTTACATTTTTTTAGTTTTAAGTCTGTACGGTGAGGGCTGGGATGTGGCTCAGTAGTGGAGCGCTCACCTGGCAGGCATGGGGCACTGGGTTCGATCCTCAGCACCACACAAAGATAAAATAAAGAGATTGTTTCCACCTCAAACTAAAAAATAAATTTAAAAAATATGTATGGTGAGATTTGGTTGATATTTGACTTTTTTCTTTTATTAGAAATGCTCCTGTTGTGCGCTTAAACGGACAGCTCCTGTTTGATTAGAAGTTATTAAGTGTAGTTTTTGTAGATTTTCAACATTATCATGATGCTGGAATTGAGAGTAAAGGATGTGACTTACAACCAGTAGGGTCAACCTTTCTGAGATGTTTGACCTAAGACTGAAAAATAGGGAGGAGTCAGCCTTTCATAGAGCCCAGGATGGATTTTTTAGGAGATGAAATAGCTTGTGGAAAGCTGCATGAGATAAGAAAAGACTGTAGTGTGATCTGGGAGCACAGTCCTATATGGGAGTTGAAGAGGATGTTATTGTTGAAAGGCCTTATTATATTCAATGGTAAAATGTTTGAAATTTATTCTGAGAGAAAGAGAAAACTATTAAAATTGTTAAACGGAGATTCTCAAACTTTTATTTATATCAGAATCATTAGTAGAGTTTTAAAAATTCAGATAGCTGAGCATGGTAGCACATGCCTGTAATCCCAGCAATTTGGGAAACTGAAGCATAAGAATCCTAAGTTCAAAGCCAGTCTTGGTAACTTAGTGAGACCCTTTCTTGAAATAAAAAATAAAAATGTCTGAAGGGATAGCTCAGTGGTAAAGTGCCCATGGGTTCAATCCCCAGTACTAAGCAAACAAAAAAAATTCAAAAAAATTCAAAATCTCGAATAGATTTGATTCACAGCTTGGAGTGATACCAGAATAACAGGATTTGTAATAAGTTTCTCAGATGATTCTGATCCACACAAAAATTACAGAACCATTATATAAACTATTTGCCACATCACCACAATTGTATATTATCTTTCATTCTTCAAACTCATATGGTCTGCTTTCAAATTACAGAACTCTATTGTAAAGTTTTCAAGCCATTTACTTCTAATGAGAATTATTTTCACTTTTGTCTACTATTTTGAAGATGGAAGCTTTTATGTTTTTCTGACTACAGGAAAAATAGTTTTTGTGTTCTTTTTTGTTTTTCTTTTAGGATTGTTCTCCAGATACAAGACCAAGAAATTACCTTCAGGAAAGGATGCTGATGAAGCTAGTTCGTCCAAATCGGAGACAACAGAAAGAAGAAAAACTGTTGGACTTAAGGGAACCACTTCGAGAAATGAGTCGCAGAACAAAAGTGAGTCTAAGGGTCAACAGGGACCCCAAGAAAAGAATTTCAGGCAAGTGAAAAGCACTTATAAGAAAAGGCCAACAGAGAGAAAGCAGACATCTTCGAGTCAGAGAACATCTAGTGGTGGGAACGCTAGTGAAGATAGGGAACGTGGGAAAAACCTTAGTTCTGCCTCTAACTCAGGTCAAAGTGAAAAAAATACTCCTGAGGAAAAGCATGATTGTCCAGAATGTGGGGAAACTTTGAGTAGTATCTCTCAACTTAATCTACATCAGAAAACTCATAGTGGTGAAAAAGTCTATAAATGTAAACAGTGTGGGATGTACTTTGGTCATCACTATCAGCTTATTTTGCATCAGAAATTTCACAGTGGTGAGAAACCCTATGAATGTCAAGAATGTGGTGAGACCTTTACTCTTTTCTCACAATTCAGTCGACATCAGAAATTTCATACTGGTGAAAAACCCTATAGATGTAAGAAATGCAAGAAAAGATTTAGTAGTAGTTCAGAGCTTTCTGAGCATGAGAAAGAGCATACTGGTAAGAGGTGTTTTGAATGTAAGGATTGTGGAAAGTTTTTCAGACTTAATTTCTACCTTACAGAACATCAGAAAACCCACACAAGGGGGAAATCCTATAAATGTAAGGAATGTGGGAAAGCTTTTACTGTAATTGGACAGCTTACCCGCCATCAGAAAATTCATACGAGTGCAAAACCCTATGAATGTAAGGAATGTGGGAAGTCTTTTAGACTCAGTTTATATCTCACTGAACACAAAAAAATACATACAGGCAAGAAACCTCACGAATGTAAGCATTGTGGGAAAAGCTTTAATGTCCGTGGACAGCTTACTCGGCATGAGACAATTCACAGTGGTGTAAAACCCTTCGAATGTGAGGTGTGTGGGAAGGCTTTTGGTTATAATGGTGACCTTCGAGTGCACCACAGAATTCATACCGGTGAGAAACCACATAAATGTAAGGACTGCGGGAAGGCCTTTATGCTTCGTTCAGCCCTTACTGAACATCAGAGAATTCATTCTGGCGTAAAGCCATACGAATGTAAGGAATGTGGGAAGACATTTAGAGGGCGCTCTCAAGTGAGCCTGCATAAGAAATTTCATACTGACCTGAAACCCTACAAATGTGCAAAATGCGGGAAGACCTTTAGATTTGGTTTCTACCTGAGTGAACATGAGAGAATTCATACTGGGGAAAAGCCCTATAAATGTAAAGAATGTGGAAAGGCTTTTATTCGTAGAGGAAATCTTAAAGAACATCTGAAAACTCATTCAGGTGTAAAGCCCTACGAATGTAAAGAATGTGGAAAGTCCTTCAGTTGGCGTGGTCAGTACACTCAACACCTGAAAATTCACTCAGGTGTAAAACCCTTCAAATGTAAGGAATGTGACAAGGCCTTTAGTCGCAGTGGAGACCTTAGAATCCATCAAAGGATTCATACTGGTGAGAAACCTTATGGGTGTAAAGAATGTGGAAAGTCTTTTAGACTTAATTCACACCTTATTGAACATCAGCGAATTCATACTGGTGAGAAACCCTATGAGTGTAAGGTGTGTAAGAAGGCCTTTAGACAGCGATCACATCTTTATCAGCATCAGAGAACCCATAATGTAACTTAATATAATACTGCCTTTCCATTTGCATGCTCTGGTTATTAGAATATCAAAAACAGACAGAAACTCTGTCAGTGTGCCAATCTTTCTTTAGATGTGTTAACTTAATAATTGTGTAAGAACCTTTTAATGCCTCTCAGTCCTTGTTGAATTTAAAGGAATTCATACTAGAAAATAAACCTGTCGATGTAAAAATTGTGGAAAAGTGTTGTTAGCAATGATATACTATCATCATTGCCTTTCCACTACTCTGATACCTGTGTGATATCAAGCAAAACATGTAGGTCTTGTTGCCTCAGTTGTAAAATGATACCTACCTAAAAGTGTGGCTAGTGGTGTATACATCATCAATAATGGTTATACAGTATACTGTAACGTGTGATACTGTGAAAACTGTCTGGCCCCAAACTGTTTTTGAAATATTGGATATTATTATTTTCATTATTATCAGCATTACTATTAGTGAATTTAAAATAGAAAGATAAAAGTGGAGGAAATAACATAGAAAGACCATTCAACACTTGCTATGTTTTGGGCAGATCATCTTTGATAAAAATCTGTTATGGACTAAATGTTTAGAATCCATATAGGATATGCAATCCCAACCAGATGGTGTTTGGAGGAGGGGCCTCTGTGGTTATTAGGTCATGAGGGTACAGTCTTCACAAATAGGAGTATTTCCATGATAAGAACATCCTCCAAACCTAGATAGTTCTCTTTCATCTTCTTTCAACCACAGGAAGATACAAGTGAGGAATCAGCAACACAGAAGAGGGCCCTCACCAAAATCCAAACATGCTGGCACTCTAAGCTTATACTTCCAGCATCCAAAACTTATTTATAAGACACTAAGTCCATGGTATTTCATTATAGCAGCCCAAACTAACTGGGAAAATCTATTAGAACACAGAACATGAGAAAGTTTGAATTCAAACCATAGTAAGTTCTACCAGAAAATTAAAGCTCGAAGGGAACTAAGGATTCATAACTGCTGAAATATCAAGGAGAGATGTGATAGAATTTCCTATAATAATGTAGAACTTATAAGTATTCCCCAATTCTATTATGAAAATTTTCAGACAGAAGAAAAATACATTCTGATACCCATTTAGCCCTCTGGCTAGATTTGAAAATCTGTACTTTTTGCCTATTTGCTATTTTTTTCAGAAATACACATATACATCTGTATACACACACACACACACACACACATAAACATTTTATTTATTTATTATCTATTTGCATGCTCTGGTTATTAGAATATCAAAAACAGACAGAAACTCTGTCAGTGTGCCAATCTTGAACCCAGGGGCACTTTACCCCTGAGCTATATCCCTAACCCTTTTTATTTTTTTTTTTAATTTTGAGATGGAATCTCACTAAATTGCTTGGGACTATCTGTGAAATTGTGTGATGGGATATAGCACATCTCTACAACAGAATTAACAAGTGATTATACAAATTATTCAAACAGTCATATTGAAATAAAAACTTAAAGGGATTTTTATAGCTGGAAAGATGGAGTAGATGTCCTTTTGTTCCCCCTCTTCCTCCTACTACATTCATCTCAAACCCCTAGGTAGTATACATCAAACAAACACAAAATTGGAAATATTGAGAGAAGAAAACAAACTTGATAGGGGACACAAAACCCAAGGGATGACGTGGTGGCATTCCATGGGATTTATACCCCAGTCTTGGAACTAAAGACTGACAGCAATACTGAAATGCCAATAGGCAGAGATAGGGTAGGGAGAGCCTCAGGAAAAGTCTACTTTCTAGCCGAATAAACAGGAAGGGACAGTGGAGCAAGAGTGGAAGCATTGAGACAATAACCCGTCTAGCCAAAAAAAAAATCTGCAGCTTGGTTTTTGTATGTATCAGTTGTTTGCTCCTTGTCATCTGAAGAGTATTCCATTGTATGAATGTGACATGGTTCATCCATTTACTCACTGAATAACATCAGAGCTGTTTCCAATTTGGGGCTATTACAAATAAAGCTACTATAAAATATTCATATGCAGATTTCTATGTGAACATAGTTTTCATATCTCTAGGAAGGATGCCCAGTGATGTAATTTCTTGACATTATGGTATCTGCATGTTTATGTTTTTAAGAAACTACCAAACAGTTTTCCAGATTGGTAGTGCCAGTTGGTCATCCTCACCAGCAACATGTGATAGTTTGTCCATCCTCCTTCCTTGGCTTTGTCACTGTGTTTTTGTTGTGGTCATCTGGATAAGTCTGTAGTAATATTTCAATGTCATTTTAATTTGCATTTGCCTAATAACTAATGATGTTTAATATCTTCTTGTGCTTCTTTGCCATCTATATATCCTCTTTAAAAAATCTCGTGATATCTTACATTTCCTGTCCTTTTCCTAAATGTATGAATTGATTGTTTACTTTTTTTTTAGAACTTATTTACATATTCTAGAAATTAGTCCCTTAGTTAGATGTGTGTTTTGCAAATATACATATATATATTTCCCAATCTGTAGTTGTAGCTTCATTCTCTTCACAATATTCTTAAAAGAGTTATTTTTATTTTAAAAAATTTGTGGATCTACCACCACTCCTGACATGGAAATCCAAATGAAGAGCCTAGATTTCTACATTTGCAATCTATAACAGAGTGTCCAAATGTCCCGCCAGGTAGGAAGAAAAAAAAAAAGCCTGTTGTGAATCCAGGGCCTTTCATCTCCATCAGGCAGTGAACAGTCCTCTTTGCCCAGGAAAGGATAAAGAGGAAGATACTTTGGGGAATAAGAACTTTTAAAAGCTCCCAAATATTCCTAGGAATTTAAAAGGCCACATGAATAAGCAGGACTGAGCAAATATTTAGGAAAAAAATTGGGGTGGCCATAAGCTCTTACCTTTCTGTCAGACCTTCAGGTTCTGTACAAGCAGAAAGTAAAGGCTAAGTCAGAATTGTAAACTGGTTGAGGATTGAAGATGTGCCCTAACACACAGCCTATCTGCAAAGACTGGGAGTTTTTGTTTTATTCCAGGCATTTAAGTTAGCCCTAGCTGGGCACCGAATTAATGGAACAGAGACTTCAGTGTTCACACACGACAAAAAATACAGACTGTAAAAATTAATTCAGAAAAGTCACTTAAAGTACAACCAGCAACACCAACAAAACTTACAGGATGGCAGACTCTTAATTTCTAGGGTTGCCACATGATAATATTCAATGTCCAATTTTATGTGCATGCGTGCACACACACACACACATGCACAAGTTAGCAGGCAAGCAAACCAGAAGCATATGTGAAAATCAGTAGGAACTGAGAAAACACAGTAATTAGACAAAAGGTCTTTAAATTTTTTTTTAGTTATAGATGAACACAATAATGTATTTTTATTTATTTTTTATGTGGTGCTGAGGATCAAATCCAGTGCCTCACATGTGCTAGGGAAGTGCTTTACCACTGAGCTACAATCCTAGCCTCTAGACATAAGTTTAAAATCAGCTGTCTTAAATGTGTTCAGTGAGCTCAAAGAAACCACATATGAAAAACTAAAGAAGATTGAGATCAAAGACTCTGCAAATAGAGAATATCGATAAAGAAATGGAAAATTTTAAAAGGAACTGAATAGTTTAGACTTGAAAAGTATAATAACCAAAATGAAAAATTCTCTGGAGGGATTCAACAGCAGATCTGAGCAGAGAGAAGAAAAAAAATTAGCAAATTGAAGATAGGGCAACTGAAATTATCTAGTCTTAGAAGCACGAAAAAAAGTAAAAGAAAAAAAAAAACAGATCTTCAGAGACCTATTGAATATCATCAAACCTAAGAATGAACACAAACATATGCATTTGTTTTATGGATAGATAAAGGGTATTCAGAAGTTTCTCATATAGAAAAAGGGACAGAAAGAATATCTGAAGAACTAATGATTGAAAAGTTCCAAAAATTTGATGAAAAACAAGACATATAGGTTGCCCAAGCAGCTTAACAGATCCCAAATAGGATAAGTTCAAGTGATCTAAACTGAGACACACAATTCAGCTCTTGGAAAAGAATCTTTAAGTTTGTTTGTTTTGATGCTGGGCATTGAACTCAAGGCCTCATACATGGTAAACATGTGCTGTACCACTGAGCTACATCCCTGGCTTCAACAGCTTACCAAGGCCCTAAGCAACTCAGTACAATCCTTTTTCAAAGTAAAAAATGAAAAGGTCTGGGATGTGGCTTAGTGTTAAGCACCGCTGGGTTCAATCCCCAGTACCAAGAAAGAAAAAAAAAAGAAAAGAAAAATATACATCTAACACAATAAGGACACAATAATGGAGGAATTATGGAACAAAAACAGTAAGGCATGGAAAACAAATAGCAAAAGGATAGAAATATGTTCATCATCAGAAATTACATTAAATGGGAATGGATTAAGCTTTCTGATTAAAAGGAAGAAAGTAGCAGAATGGATTTTAAAACAAGTTTTTAAAATGATTGAACTCTATGCCATCTACAAGAAACTCTCTTTAAATCCAAAGATACAAATTGAAAACAAAAGGATATAAAAAGATATTTTATAAAAGAGTAGCTAAAAGAGAGTTGGGGTAGCTATGCAAATATCAAACAAAATAGACCTTCAGTCAATCATTATTTCTAGAGACAAAGAACATTACTTAAGGATCAAAGGGTCAACCCATGGAGAACAAATAACAGTTATAAACCTATACACTTAGCAATGGAGTCTCAAAGTACATGAAACAAATACTAGCAGAATTGAAGGCAAAATAGACAGCCCAACAGTAACAGGAATCTTCAATACTCCACTTTTACCAATGGATAGAACAACTAGACAGAAACCCAGTAAGGAAATAGAGAACTTGAACAATACTACAAACCAGACCTAACAGACATCTGTGGAATGTTCCACCCAACAACAATAGAATGTACATTCTTCTCAAGTACACATGGAATGCTCTCCAAGGATAGATGATGTTAGGTCACAAAACAAGTCTCAATAAAAAAACTATAAGTCATATAAACATTTGGATACTACTCGGCATTAAACAGAAATGTCCTGTTGATACACACAGCAACTACTTAAATCTCAAGACCATATGTTGAAAGACAATTTCAAAAGATCACACACTGGCCAATTCCACTTATGTAACATTCCTGAAATGACAAAACTATAGAGAGGTGGAACACATTAGTGGTTACCAGGGATTGGGAAAGAGGACAGGTGTGATCATGAAGAGGTACAGTGAGAGAGAGCTTTGTGTTGATGGAATAGTTTTGGATCTGGATTGGCAGTGGTGGTTGCATGAATGTACATATGTAATCAAGTGGCATATAACTATCTACTCTACGCACATTGTATCAATGTCAAATGCTGTGTTTTGATATTGTACTGTAATAATGTGAGATGTAGCCATTGGCAAAAACTCTGTGTATACAGGACTTCTGTGAACTATCTTTACAACTTCCTGTGTATCTGTGTATCACGTAAAAATAAAGTTTACTTTAAAAAAAAAAAAAGCTTCAATACAGATGGATTGAAAATCAAAATGCACACAGCAGAAATATGGATTAGGAAGCCAGAAGGTTAACAATCCAGAAGGAACCAAATGAAATAAAAAGATTCATAAAACAACTTGACATGAAAGACAGAAATAGAAGTTCCCACATCCATTGAATAGCATCCTAAGAAGACAATAGAATTGAGAGGTAATGCTTGAAGTAATCACCAAGGAAAATTACCGCAGAATAAAGTATGTTAAGAAGCCCTCTTTCAAATTACTTATCAAGTTAGTAAAATTCGAAATATTAATTCTATCACATATTTTCCATCTTAGCATCTATGAAATTGGAATGTGTCTTATATCTGTGAAATGCCATTTTTTAATTGACACTACTTTCATTGGTAAATAAAATAATTTATGGCTTTTAAAAAGTTAAATATTATGCACATTTAGCAAAATTTCCAAAAAAAAAATATAAAGGAATGAACATATAAAATCTTCAAGAAAGATTTTAAAATTGACCTACAAAGGAATTAGGAACAGATTAACATTAGCCTTTTACAAGTATACTCTTGTAAGAAGATAATGGAGCAGATCTTCAAAACTAGAACTATGCCAGACTATGCCAAACTCTTGTTTAAATTACCCATCTCAGAAAACTTCTTTTAATATATTCCTGGAGGCTATTGGAAAATAAAGATAAGTAAACGATATAAATGAAGTGACAAGAGAAAAAGTTGGCAAACAAATTGGTTTTTAAAATAAACTTGAATACAAAAACTCAAGACCACTGTTTCAAAATAAAGTTCCACTTGGTATCAAAATAGAATATATGGATAAGGAAAGGGGACTCCAAATGGAAACAGAAACAGTGTGGTGGCTCTTATTCAACAAAAGGCCAGATAGGAGTTGCATACAATTTGTGTGTGTGTGTGTGTGTGTACACACCAGGGATTAAACTCAGGGGCTCTTAACCACTGAGCCACAACCCCAGCCCTCAGTGTGTGGATCTGCTGTGATTACAGGCGTGTGCCACTGCACCCAGCAAAATTTCTTTTTTACTTTTTCCTTTTGTGTGTGTGTGTGTGTGTGGGTGGGGGATACCAGGGATTGAACTCAGGGGCATTCAGCCACTGAGCCACATCCCCAGCCCTAATTTGTATTTTATTTAGAGACAAGGTCTCACTGAACTGCTTAGTGCCTCGTTTTTGCTGAGGCTGGCTTTGAATTTGCGATCCTCCTGCCTCAGCCTCCTGGCCGCTAGGATTATACAGGTATGTGCCATTACGCCCAGCCATAATTTCTTATTTAAAGGATTTTTGTTTTAATTTAAGCATAAACCTATAACAAACATCTCATTTAATGAAGAGCATAGTAACATTCCCACTCATCAGGAACCAGGGCAAGAGGTGGAAATAAGATAACTGACTAGAGGTACACAGCACACACCTCCACAACAAAGGACCAAAATGGTGGGGAATCAACACCTGTTTCTCTGTAATGTTTGAAGCATATCATCAGATTGCAGTGGGGATGTAGCAGAGATGTTGCTGAGCATGGAGATACATGGTGGCCTTATAAAAAGGGAACTAAACACAGCACCTACTGCTCCCTGCCTCCAGAGATCAACCCTGTACTAAGAGGGACCTGGCTCAGCAGGGAAGGGTTAAGCAGGAAGCCCCTGGCAGTCCCCACTTGTGTGTGTGACACCTGAGGGATGTAGAGCTGGAGGGCTTTCACAGGCTCTGAGCCCACTTTGGGGAGCCTGGGGAGCCACATTGAGTTACCACGCCTTCCAATCCTGATGTACCACAGAGATCTAAAGATCACTCTAGTCTGGTGTGGTAGTGCCATGACTGGTGACTCCGTCTTTTCCCCAACTCGGAGAGCAAGGCCAGTCTTCTGAGTACACATACCCTTGGGGTTGAGCTACACTCACCTATTTTGAAATCTTATCCCTTTGCCCTGTTTGGGATAGAATGTTCCATCAAAACTCCCTTTGTGTGTCCCCTTCTCCTGCTCTGCCTTTGGGTGTGGCCTTCCAAGATGTCAGTCAACTGCTGACAGCAGACATCACAAAGCGAGACTCAACACCTCCCCCAAACCTGACCCCTTGCCTCATTTGAATGGCTCCTCCTCAATAAAAGCATTCAGCATGTGCTCTCTCTCTCTCTTTCTTTCCAAAGACCCCTAAGGTCAGATGAGCCATCACAGGACCCAAAGAAAAAGGTATCTCTGTCTCTTATATGATTATTTCATGCAGCCCAGTTCACCTGGAGTGACCCTGAGTGTTAGTCATGGAACAGAATAGGGGAGCTGCTAGGCTACCACACTGCTATACTGTGGGAGAAAGAGCCCAGCCCACATTGTGTCCTCCCCCACTCATCTTGAGACCCCAAGAGATCCCCAAGAGATCCTCAGAGAAGCACCTGGGACCCCCTTGAGTGACTTGGCCTGAAGAAGACCTCAGAAAACAGACAGACTCACCCACACACCCTAACCAGAAAGCAGCAAGCAGCCTTGCCCATTCACCTGTGCCTGGTAAGTAGCTGAACAGACCTTTCTGGGTGGCTTAGCACCAGGTAGGCCCACTGAGACCCTGAGAAACAGATGCTAGATCTCCCCAGGAGGCCCAGGAAGCATCTGGGCAGATCTCCCTGAGCAGGTCAGCTGTGAAGTTCCCTGCAAAGCCACCTATGCAGCCCTCAGATACTGACAGGTTCCCTATCATGGTCACTGCTGCTGCAAACTTTCCAGTGCAATCCTCAGTCCCTAATGGGTACTCCCTGCTGCTTCTGGGTGTGTTGTGTGGCAACTACCTGGATCAAGTGCTGTGGCCCCACCCTCACACTGTCACCCTAAGAGGTCCAAGGAGTCACTGGAGGGGGGCCTCAAATTAGGATGGGTGAGGTTCTTGACAAACATTGCATAAATGACTTTAAGGATGTATCCATTAAAGGCACAGATTTATTTAGGAAAGCATTCAAAATAAATTAGTTAAGACTAAACCTGAGCCCAGTGCGGTGGCTCATATCTGTAATCCCAATAACTTAGGAGGCCGAGGCAGGAGAATCACAAGTTCAAAGCCAGCCTCAGCAACGGTGAGGCACTAAACAACTCAGTGAGACCCTGTCTCTAAATAAAATACAAAATAGGGCTGGGGATGTGGCTCAGTGGTCAAGTGCCCCTGAGTTCAATCCCCAGTAACAAGAACAAACAAACAACAACAAAAAAGCACAATAATGTACAAGGAAATTTTCATAAGTGGGTGAACTTCCAATAACTTTATAAATATAGATTTCCCAGAAATTTAGTAGTGATAGGCCTGGGAGAGAGAACTGGCCTGGGAAGGAAATGTGTGCTGAACTTTAACATAAGCCTTTTAGGTTAAATTTATAATTCCCTTGTCCTTCCTTCCCTTTTTTTCCCCTCCATTTATTTTGTAGTTGTAGATGGGCAGCATGCCATTATTTTATTTGTTTATTTTTATGTGGTGCTAAGGATCAAACCCAGTGCCCCACTCGTGCTAGGCAAGTGCTCTGCCACTGAGCTACAGCCCCAGCCCTTGTCCTTCCTTTTGACTCCTTTGTACTTATTTTTTATTTTCTTCTACCTCAACATGACCCACAGAAACTGTTGGACACCCCACAGCTGGGAGCACTACACCAGAGCTGACAGTGGACCTGCCCATTGAAAGGAGCTACATCCCAGTTGGGGCAATCTCACAACACCCAAGAAATCCCTTCCAATCCTAGCCACACCTAATGTAAACCAATGGACCCTTAGCAGAGTTTGTCCTGCATCAAAATAGAGGTCTGAGCACTTCAGCAGGATTTCCAGACACTTCCCCGTTCTGGGACCCCCAGAGGTACTTGTGACAAGCCTGTTCCAATCTGTCTTTCCAGTTCAAAGCCAGCCTCAGCAACTTAGCAAGGCCCTAAGCAACTTAGTGAGACCCTGACCCTAAATAAAATATAAAAAGGGTGGGTGGGGGAGTCTCAGTGGCTAAGCACCCCTGGTGTCAAAAACTGGTACAAAAAAAAAAAAAAAGAAAGAAAAAAAATCAATCCGCCTTTCCAGGGCATAGGGGAGGTCATTTCACCCATACAGAACCTCTTTCAGGGCTCCTGGAACCTGCTTGACCTTCCACATCTGAAATGATAAAACTGCACAGGCCATGATCAGCAGGCAACTACACTTACCCAGGTGGAGCCCTCCTAGCCAGGTTCACAACTCTCAGAGGCCTTGGGGCTCAACGCTCCATATTCCCAGTTCATGGCATTCCCCATCTTCTCTTTTTTGGGGGAGGGCAGAGATTGGAGATTGAACCAGGGGTACCGAATCACTGAGCC